ATGTAACGTCAGGCGGAACGATACGTTTTTGACGCAAGTCATTGTGACGTAGGCAACCCAATTTATGCGATATAAAGTAAATTTTTTATCCAATCAAATGGCGCGTTACAATTAGAATTAAATTATTTTTAGATATTACTTGTAAAGTGTTAATTTTAAGCTTAAATTTGGACTATTTTTTTCTGGACGTTCACAATATATTTGCTATATTTGTCAAATATGATGATACGGTTAATTAGATATGTAATTTAGGACCAGTCTGAATAAAACAGTACACTGCACAAAATAATTCTGTGTGCAGGTTGCATGGAAAAATGGGAATCCAAACTTAACAGTACTGTAAATACTTCAAAAGAGAAAAATTGATCATTTTCTTCTTTAAAAAAAAAAAAAAAAACATCTTCCGCCACAAAATATAGTTCCTCACTTAATGCTTTTGATATGGAATGTAATCATGGGCTTTTAATCTAATATACAGTTGAACTTCAGGATCTCGAACACTGATATCACTAATAACATGGTATGTCAAAGTGATTTTTAAGTCCCAAACACTTACTATTCTCCAAGTATTTTACCTTTGATGTCTCAAGTCCTTGAATATCTTGAACTTTTTTCTTGGTCCCATTGAGTTTGAGATAACGAGGTTTGACTGTAGTTTAATTTGCATTGTAGAATCCAAATTTATCATAGGAACTAAAACATTACACAGATTTTTTTAAATAGGGGTCAAGACAAAAATCTGCTCAAAAGTTCAGGAGCAAACCTCTTTAAATACCTAGGTAGCTATTAATAGCTACATATATAGGTAGAAAGTCTTTGGATTGGACCTGTTAAATGGGTGTAAACCAAAGTACTGAAGTGCTCCTGATTTACCGATATGCCCCTGAAAACTACCGAAATTCCCTTTAAATACATTTATATATTATATATGTTGTAATGTATGTTAAATTTCATTTGAAAAAAAAAAATGTATTTTGAACAAAATTACAAAAATGATGCTAATTTCACTCAATATCATGACATCAAAGAAGGATAACTCTTGCAATTTTGTCAGTTGAAATGCTTTTTGAAACTTTTATTTTTACAGTTTTATGAAATAGTTTTAAATCTGAAAAAAATCTACCTCAAATCATGTATTATATGGCAAATTGAGTATATAACCAGCAGTATACATTTATTGACTGGGCAACATGCGTTTTGTTGGACCTAAGAACTAAACTTTTAAGCAAACAGTTTGGTTTGAGGGGTCAACAAAACACATTTTGCTGGAGAACACAGTCAATAAATGTTTTGTTATACCTTTTGACATATCTTATGCTGGCTTCCATGTTTGCAATAATTGAAGATAAAGCTGATCTTGCCTACAGTGTGATGTAAAAAAAAGTTATAGCAGTCCAATATCTCATCAACATGCAGGTCCAATATCTCACTCAGCTGTCCAATATTGATTTTTTTAAGTGCTCAAAAACACAATCGAAATGTTTCAAAAATTTTTTAAAGTATAGATTTATATAGGAAATGATTTTTAAAGGTATAACAAAATAATATAGAGTAAATGGGTTTTGGCATAGAATTATATGTGGTAAACAAGACAAAATGTCATTTCTCTGATTGTAGAATGTCCGAGTTATGGTTGCAACAGTATTCTCCAAAAAAAAAAAAAGGTGTCAAAATTGATAAAAAATAGATTAATGGATCAATTTAAGCAGAATTAATTGGTATGCCAGTATTTTAAAATATGTCAAAAATTCTTAATCATAGGTTATTTAAATTTAGAACATTGTTTTGAGAAATATAAAATATATCTTCTAAAAAGCTTGAGAAAAGCTTTATGTAAGTTTCGATTTATGAAATCGCAGATTTCCAATTGAAATAGGTTATTTTTGGGGAGCTAACAGTGAGCCTTTTTGATTGAAATTTGTCTTTCGTTCTTGTCAGAAAAGTTTCACAATTTCATCTTCTTCTCCAGAACCACTGTGTCATTTCCAACCAAACCTGGCACAGAGCTTTCTTGGGTAAAGGGGATTCAAGTTTGTACAGTGTATTATGAAAATGAAGGGCCATGCTCAAGGGGAGATATTTATCTAAGAATTAGTGAAAATTTAATGGCATCTTTTAAAAATCTTTTTCTCAACTTCAAGAATCTCTAGGCCAGAGAAATGAAACTTATGTGAAAGATTTGTTAATTAGGTAAAGTGAAATTTGTTCAAATCATAACCCTCAGGGAATTATATAGAAAAAAAAAATCTTAAAGAATCTTCTTAAAGAGAGTGGCATATCCATGATAAGTAACATTTATATAGTAGCATCCTCAGTTAGTGCACATTAAAATTTGTTCAAATCATGATCCCTGGGGGTGGGGAGGGGCTAAAATGGGGATCAAAGTTTTCCATAGAATACATAGAAAAAATCTTTAACATTTTATTCTCAAGAACAAAGCCATGATTTGTGATATTTATATGGAAGCATCCTGAGGTAGTTTAGATTCAAATTTATTCAAATCATGACTTTGGGGGTAGGGTGGGGCCATGAAGGGTGATCAAATTTTCACAAAGGCCTATATAGAGGAAAATCTGCTGATGAAGAACAGCAGGGCCATAATGACTCAGGTGAGTGTTGTGGCCCATTTATTGTTTTGTACCATAAGTATTTCTTCAGTCATTGATGGGTTGTCTTTTACTATTAATTCACTATTAATTCAGCATTTTTCACGTACTATTAGTTTTTTGTTTTGGCTACTTCACATTGGATATTTATGTGTATTTCTTAACACATGTAGATGTATTTGTGTTCTACATATTTAGCGTCCTTACAACTTCAGGGACCCTGAGCTCTCTTGGCCATGGGACCCCTGAAAAACTTCTTTCGTTTTTTTTGGGCTGATCGACTTCTCTCATTGAGAGAATCAGATTGGGTCTTCAATAAGTATACAAAAAATGTAAACAGAAAGTAAGCCATTAATATTAACTTCTCAGTACATGTGATACAGGTTTTTTGTCACCAAAAGACTAAATGTGATTGGCTGAGAGATAAGAAAAACAATCAGGATTTGTAATTTCTCTAAAGATGTCACTACCATCAACTTGTAAAAAAAGGAAGCTTTTCAAAGATTTACAGCCTTGAGTGGACTAAGGAACCCTGACATTGTGAGAGTGCATATGTAGAGGACAAACTCTGGACTGTGCACACCATTTCAAAAAATCTTTCTGAAGATACTTAATTCTTGCAATGAATTGAAATATATATGTGTATTATTTTATGTGACTATAAAAACAAGATTCGTATCATTTACAATCAGTTTATTGCAAAAATACATACACCTGTAGTCCTGTACCAATATATATACCAAGCATTTCATAATTACGTGATTGTGATTATAGCAATGGATAACATTATATAAAAAATATTCCTCTAGAATTTACTTTTAAAATATAATATTGCATGTGTAGCTGGCAATACTTGTATACATTTTACAACTTGACACCAGACAATCATGGGTTTGTAAAATGATAAGTGTGATGGTGAAAATGTTTTGATTCTGTCACACTTGACATTTGAAGTGGAAAATTGAGAGAAATAAAAAATTTCAATAAGCATCAGCATAATATTGCCAGGCAGCATGTCACATATGGGTGTATGTTAATCGGGTCAGAATATGAAACATAATTATCATTTATGTTCAGCAAGCACTTGTACTTATTGAACTATTTTAATTTATCTAGTCAGAAGGGTGCTCTGTTTATGTACATATACAATTAAACTGGATACATGTAATAAAGAGAAATAGGATACATTTTATGATATAAAATTCCCAGGATTCCCTTTTTTAATAAAGAAAAAAGGTCTTTAACCCCCCCCCCCCCAACCCCCCAAGAAAAGAAAGAAAACCAAAGAAACCCTTCCTTTTGGTTTGGGGGGGGGGGGTTTAAAGTCTTTTATTCCTTTGTATACTTGTAAGATCTGTTGTACATAGAATTGCATTATTTTTACCTGTTAATGACCATATTGCCACAATAGAAATAGATTTTACTAGCATATATTCACTTCCCTATTTAAGATAAATAATGCATGATACCTCATCAATTATGCAGCAGTACCTCACGTGAAAGCTCCATTTCTTTTGTATCTAACATAGTACATATTCAACAGTAGAGAACAAAAAGAAAATTTCTTGGAATCAATATCAGTAAATATACATTCCAACAAAAATGTAATATTATGTGTGGGGAGTGCCAGACCCAGCCAGCTTGAGAAATACAAATGTTTATGGTAAAACAAATTCAGATGTATATAGCATAGCAGCTAGATTTTCTGATTGTATATTTTGGGTATTACAGATTGGTATAAAGAATATATACACTAGTTCTTAAATACTTATTGATTACATAACACCTCAAAGGCTGTATCATATCTGATAACAGGATAATTATTGATTAAGTGTAATCTGGAATAAATTTGATATCTCACACATAAATATAGGTACACATACATGTATCAAGCATTTAATAAAAATATCTCAATGACATACTACAAATTAAAAATCTGTCATGTTTTTCCATATTCTGATTTTGTGATGCTGTACCTCATATGCATACCATTATTTATAGGATAAACAATATATGTGCTACAATCAAAGTACCTTTTTTCAAAACTTTATAAAAATCAAAAAACTCGTAAACAGATCACATAAAATTCTAAGGACTAAGAAATTTTTCCATAGTTTTAAGCTGTGAATTCTGTATGAAACAAATGTGATGTGCTGAAAAAATACTGCAACTTGCACGTAAATTATATTTTACATTTCTAAGTAGCATTTTTTCACAGATAAAAATGCTTTATTGCAATTTTTAACATGATAATCCATTTACTAGTATATGTAATAAATTTTCAGTCCATGGTAAAGAGAAAAAAAAAATTGCAGTCTCCTGTATTGAAAATGCAAATGGGACTTCATGTAGCACTGTCTGATTTTGACCAATGAAAATACAGAATGAGCCATATAAAGTTTGTCTTTGGTCTTTGGTTTCAAATTATAAAGCAGCATCTGCGGAACAGCAGAGCAGAGAGGGAGCACTGTGAGAGAACTTGGTGTGGACACGGACAGGAGACCTTGGCTCCAGATGGATACCGGCTTGTCCATTTTGTATGTGTCCATTTGGATGAGGGGAGAAGTGGGGGAAACGTTTAGGACGGTTGAAAAGGGGGACAGAATTTCTCTTCTCAAGGTTGACAGGATCAGAGCATGGTCCAATATTGACAGGCATTTCTAGTAATAACTGACCTCCACAAGTGGAGAAATGGACCACTATACGGAGGTTGTATGTAACCTGTATAAGTCTACATCCTGGATTTATGCTTGGTAAAATATTCATTTGAGTTGGCAGTGTGATGTCAAAGCAAGCCAGAGTTTGTCGTAGTTTGTTAGTTATCACAGTTCCTTTGGGTTCTTTTACTCCAAACGTTGACAGATCAAATATAAAATGGGATTTAGGCTTCACCAGGGTTATTTTTTGTTGTAGACAACCATCGATCATTTTAATACGTTTTGCATACTGATTCTCTACTTCGAGTCTGACTTGTATGTCATCCCCTGCTAGGAAACAGGAACGATCTATACACAAGTTTACACTGGCAATATCACTGGAGAAAAACGAACAAGACGAAAGTGTGATGTCCTCCTGATGAATCACAGGCAGGAGTGCATTGGGAATGGAGTGAATGTCAAATCTCCTTCTCACGGTGAAGGAATTCTTACGAGAGAGGATGATTTTTACCAAGTTGTTCAATGAATGGGTACTTCTAGCAGAAGATGATCCAATGTCATCACATATTCTAGCTTTCACTGTGTAAACAATCTCAGCACCAAAACCATTGTGTTCATCCTTGTATTTCATTGAGGATGGAATGTTACTAGGGAGGAGGAATTTGAATTTTGAAACATAGTGACCAGGAGTGACCAAAGACGTCCATTTACCATCCGGTGTCCCCACTATGTAGTTACGTTTGTTCAGAAACACGTCCCGAAATGTTTTGGTTTTTCCTAAGTTTGCATTTCTAAACAATGTAATGGCAGAGTGTCCTGTGACAAGAAACTCAATGAATCGGATTTCTAATTTCCCTTGAATGTCAAAGATAATTTTGCCAGAGATTTCTTCACCAGGATGATATCGATGTCTCTCATGCTGGTCCAGCTCTATATCAAATCGCTTCACTAGATGTTCTTTGGGTTGATAACTTCTTCGGAAAACCACAGACCCTTTTGAAAGAGTCCCACTTGGATATCCTTTAATAGTTCCATTGATTGGTCTCCTTACATGCAAAGGAATGCTACTGTGTACACTTTGTTGGCTGTGGACAGTGGCACCTCCTAAAGAATGGTGGCTCCTGATGGTACCACTCAAGTTTTTGGTTCCCAAGTTATCAGGTAATCCCCTCAGAGACCCCATTTGAGAGGTAGGCCTTGAAGGTTTAGACTGAGAGCTTTGTGGCCCCCATGTGGAGCCTCCAGGGACTGTGATCATTTTGTTGAGTTTGGCCTTGGTTCCCTCCCTGTATTTAGCTGCTCTGGGACTGATGCTGTTAAAAACAGCATTATTTTGTTTGTAGTGTTGTCTTCCTTCTAAGTTTTCAGAATTATGGGGAGAAGGGTCAATAATGGCATTTATCGTCTTAATTTCATCATCTGAAAAATCAATATTTCTATATATATATACACAATGTATATGTCTTAGTACTAAAAATAGATCATAGAAGACTGTACATTTATTATTAAATTGTGATAATTCATAAATGTCTGGACTTGGGTCATGGCGGCCCTCAGTGTCATAATTAAATTCAACACAAGGTCATTTGTGTTAGAATGTCAAGTTAGACTATGGAGGAATGTCTAATGATTATAATAATTAAATCAGTGATATCTGAAACTTTTTTGCAATTTGAAATTCATAATACATGTAAAATATTTCAGTAATGTAGCTATAAATTTAAATAATTAAAAAAAAATTAGGTAAATACTAGGCACAGTAAAAGAACAATGTTGAATTATTAAATATAAAACTGACTTACTTTCAACATTGAGTTCCTCTAGTTCTATTTTATGAGGGGAGAGAATCTCATCCTCTTCAAGTGCCAGATTTATGTGCCCCTGCATTGTGTTATTATTCTCCAATTCCCCAGGGGTCAGATGAGATTTCTTTATTCCGACATTTTCCTGGCCATGAACAGTGACCGTGACCTGTCCTTGACCTTCCATAGATGCCATGTTGATTCCTATGGGATAAAACTCATAATTTTTCTTGTAAAGAAGGCCTTCCACTGGGCCCTTCAGAGGATATTGGTTCATATGTGAGGTCCCTCATTCTAATAAATAAATCAAGAAACTTGTTAATAGGAGGAAAAAAAATCTGCTAGCTTGTGATTTTTTATTGCATGACTAGACTTGAAATTAACATAAATAATGAATTTGAAAGAAATGCAACATTTGTTTTCTTGGAACTGCTACTAGTATAATTAAATTTGAATTTGTTTGGGAATATATATTGTGTTTTATGATTTTTCTCTATAGTATTGGATTGCAGTAGTAATTTTTAAGATAAAAAAAAAATGAATTATCAAAAAATTCAAATGAGTCTGTAGAAAAATGTTTTTAACTAAGTCTATTTCACCTAACGACCAGTATACCAGTCTTATATACAGAAGGTTCCAGGGAAAAACAAATGGTTGGCATAAGGACATATTTAACAGTTTTAGTAGAAAAATACTTACTTACAAAATAAATTAACGTAGGTCGCGGGTTTGCTGACGTCGTTAAAACTGAGTACGCAATTTATATGATTTGGGCGACTTTCTTGTGCACATTTGATTATGACGTCACAATGAGTAAGACATTTTTTTAACTCTTCAGTACAACAAACTGAAGTCACAGATTGAAAACTTTTTTGCGATTTTTTTAATGTTCGAAAATCGAAAGCGTTAGAAATTTATCATCACATTGAGACCACAACAGTATCACGAAAAGATACGGAGCAACTGAAAAAGTGTCAACTGCATGATTATTTTTTTTTTTTCTTTTGACGTATTTTAATAAAAAATTTGTTGCACTGATAAACCGTCATTATATAAACAACCGCAGTTACAACTGTTATGTCAAAAGTTTAAACTTTATTTTTAAAAAGGAAATTTTAAAAATACATGTACATCTATATCGTAATTGAAAAACTGCTCAGGTATGAAGTTGTTTCGCCTGATTAAAAAAGATCGCTGGCAGACTCTGGGTTAGAAACTCCCTAAAATTACAACTCGCAAATAATTGCGAGTACCAAGAAAGTGAACTCGCAATTTTATAAGACTACTCGCAATTTTCATATAAAATTAAATTAATATAAATTAAATACATGTAACTTTAGGAAAAAGTAACTACCGTACAATACACAAAATACAGCTACAGTGTGACTTTTATTTAAATTACTGATTTAAATCAAAAGCATTGTGTTCTGTCATATTATATAATTTTGCTACAGTTTCAATGCAAAAAAATCAACTCGCAAGTTTTTGCGAGTTACCTAATTTTTAACTCGCAATTTGGGAATTCTAACTCGCGTTTTGCAAGTTGTATATAGTGAATTTCGAACCCTGAGACTTACATTGTATGAGGAATTCGTGCTGAAGAAGATATTAATTCGGTAGGAATCTGAGGAGGGGCGTGCCCCCATAATTTTTTCAATGTATATAATAATAAATTACTTTAGAAAATCGAGCTATTTTACAGTTGTTGTCCCCCTCGATAATATTACCAGTACATGAAAATATGATACATATTAGAAAACAGAGCTAATTTGCGGTTGTGTCCCATCAAGAATGTCTGCTTCAGGCCCGTAGAACGCGGGAGCTGCGGGGGGGGGGGGGGGGGGGGGTGTCCCCCAACTTTTTTCTGAGTATAGTATTTTTCCTATAGATGCATGCTGGTTGCCCCATCCCCCACACTTTTTGTTGCTGTTATGTCGAGCCTGGCAAATCCAGGATTTGGACAGCTTATTAGTTTTTTTTTTTAGGTTGCCCCCCCCCCCCCTCCTTATTGAAACCATTGCTACGGGTCTAAACTTTTCTGTATCTGTTAGGTTGCCCCCCCCCCCCCCCCCCACTAAAAATTGCATCCTATGTTCCTAGCTGTGTATCTTAGTATCTTTAAAAAAGCTCATCAAAGACTAAATTCTTTAAACTATTACCGGTATAACACCATGTTTTGCAAATACTTTGACAATATCGAACGGTGTCGAGAATGAAAAATCGGACGCTCAAAAAATGACAAAATTCGGTGAAAAATTGTGATCTTTTCATATAAAACACGAGTAGTTCTTGTTTCTTGTTTTTTATTTACCAACAGAATGGGATTTATTTGGAAAAACGCTGCATGACATGATACCACAGCGACATCCTGTTAAAAGAGCAGTTGTATGCAGCGTGTGTACTCGTATAAGCATTACCAATATGAAAATTCCGTATACGGATCATTTGAAAGCACTTGATATACGTATCACAGGCATCAGAAGCAAATTACATCTAGAATACAAGTGTGTTGGGGGTCCAAACTGCGTTGATCAGTATTGAATTAAGAACAAGTCTATTTGTTAGCACTTCAGCTGTTGCTTGTGAAGATTATTTATTTAGGATTTATATCAAGCAAAATGAAACGAAAATTAGTCTTCGATTTAGGAGAATATTGGACATATAACATGTATCATTTCAACTCTACAGAGAATAGATATGTATTTGTTGAAAAAAGATTATGTACTATACTCATCCCCTACCACATTTGCTCCTGAATAATAGTTGTACCTAACCACTCACCATTTCTCTTCCCTAACGTTTTGGCAATTACCCATTTTCTTACTTTTCAGAAAAATTTGAACTTTTTTTTCTAATGTTATTCTCTAATTAATGTTCGCTCCCCATTCTTGTAAGTAAAAAGTCTCTGAATCACGCAAGGAGTACTGTTCCTGCAAGCCCCCCCCCCCAGCCTTCTCTCTCTCTCTCTTAGTTACAGCTTAAACAAGGTGTTTCAGACAAGATACATTGTTACATAACTCATACATCTGTGCTTATTTTAAATACAAATTTTACATTAAATGTATATAAACATAAATTTCTTTTTTCTTTTTTGTATTTCTGCACTTTATACCGGACCGTATTCACGACGTCATGCGTGACGTCGCCATAGTTTATAGCGTCATTCTTAAAAATGCTACATTTAGCAATGTAAAAGCAATTATTCGCATTTAAATTACGAGAAAACTAACTCGAAGACATACTAATTTTTTTACATAGATTTATCTGAAATCATCTTGGGGTGAAATGACCCAAAGGGAAACAATTTCGTCTGCACCATTTAAAAGTTACTGAGATTTTTTGAAAAGAAATCTTTCCTGAAAACGAGTCAAAAATGACGTTTTCCCTATAGAATTCAATAGAATAACGACGAAAATGTTACGACAACAATGACATGTTTGGGATTTAATAACGCAAAAACGATGCAGACGAATTTTATAAAATTTTCAGAGAATGTACAACAAAAGTAGGAGATTCATATATGTAATTTTCTTGGTATGTTTTCAAGCAATTTTAAAAGGTCACCAACCCCGCGACCTACGTTAACATGACTACATTTCAACATTTCAACAAAAGTGTTTGTATCGATATATTGAGTATCAGTATAAGTAGAAAACATTCCAGATTCTATAGAAAAGAAATTGTTTACAAACTTGTATGTGTGTACGTGAGACATTCATACTTCTTAGTCTTATGCATTTTAATGATACAAGTTTTGTTACCATTGGTCTTAAAATCTAATCTTCTTTAGTAGAAAACAATTAAATCATTCCTACCTGAATTGTTAAAACATTTATATGTCCATGTGAATATTTCCTAACTAGGAGCCCTGGCCATGCTTAGTAGACCAGAAGTATTGATTAATTCAGAAGGAAAATAAATTCTAGGTGCAGGTGCGATGTAAACCTTCCAGAGAGTGTAGCATAGAATAGTCTGGGTGAATACCGCTATAATTAAGCAAAGGCAGAGAATGCTTTGTGGGTGCACTGCGAAAAATTTGTATGAGTGCTTGAAAACTTGTTTTTCAAGATATAAGCTGCCTTTACACTGCTATCATGCCTGGTTAGGTTTTTGTTATTGAACTGAGCACAACAATGGGACAAATAACTTGTTTGCATAATCATTTAAATCTACTTATCAAGAATATTTATCAATATGGTCGAGAATTTGTTGAAATGTTTTAAATTTGGTTTTAAAATTTTTACACATTGTGTTTTAACATTATATTTGGCTGTTAAAATGTGAGTGTATGCTCAGCAGTTTAATGATTTTATTTAGCTCAAACTCTAAATGGTTCATAAATTTATGGATATATTATGAAATTGATAAATGATCTAGAAAATAATTGGTTTTCTCTGAGATGAAAAAGAAACCCATTAAAAGCATTTAAAACCTATAAGACAAAATGTTCAAGCTTGAGAACTGTGAATTATCTAGTTTTTTGGGGTGATTTTAGTAAATCTCAATGTGCTAACCAGAAGAAGAGTAGATAGATTTAAATATTTTTGCTGTTGTATTTCTTTTTAACAGTTTTGAGTTGAGTGTAAATATTGTTATGATTGGACCATCCAGAAAATACCCCATTTGTTGGCTGCTTTAACTTGTGATACATAATAACTTAGGAATTTTTATACAAACTGCAGGAAAACTACACCATTATTTAATGTTTAGGTGATATAATAAAAATAACTTAAAATTCTGTGTTACAAATTCACTATCATGGATCTTCTAAGTATGACTATGTAGTAGAGAAGAATATATATATAGAGTTATACTGTATGTATCACCTATGTAAAGTAATTATCAAGCCTCATACATTATGTAGGTATGGGGGACGTGATTAAAAGCCGCTGGTAAGAATGAATGATCAAACACATTGATCAGAGTAGATCATCAACTTCTTATCAGTCCTGGAGTTACCAAAGTCTGTCTTTAATGTCTCTGTTTAATTATTACACTGTACATTATAGGGAGAGATAGTGAAATCTCTCATCAAGTTAATTATATATGTCAGAGGGTCTTGTAGGCATATTTATTGTAAACATACAGGACACTGACATGCTATATATGTCACTTCTATAAACAGAATACTATGTTACATCCTGTTAGAGTTGACCATCTTGAACAAAGAGTTTTATTTTAATTCTCAATATGAATGGTATACCTAGTAAAACTGCTGAGTTGATAGAGTTACAGTGTATTTTACTTTTTTAATTCAAATTTTTGACTGCCTGGAGATTTAACTATAGAAACTTGATAAACCAGGTGTTTGAAGGCTCTGTATATCTACATGTTCTGAGGCAGGTCAGTGATCTCAAGCAGTCTTACATTTCATTGTATACTCTTCTATACAAGGTAATATGGAGAGATTTATCATACATTATCAATAAATAAAACACATACCTCAATCTACTATGAACTATATAGGTATTGTATGACTGATTTATTAACTTACTGTTGTTTTGTTTGATTCCAGCTAGAAGTCATGCTAGAAAAGAGTTCCTGTATTTTAAGTAGATGTGATGGCAGAAAGTAAAAAGAAAGAGGAAAGGTTTGTTCTTTCTGGAAAATTTGTTAGTCATTTATCGATATAAATTTTGTTTTTCTATGTATTTTACGTTGACACAGTCATTTTTGATAGATTGCTATTTACATTGCAATCTATTGAGTAGGACATGTGCATTCCATTTAAGGTAAACTGTTGGGAATGTTTGATTTGGCAGTGTAATTAAACAAGGATTCTTATGTGAGTCCAAAAAAAACTTGAATAAGATAAATACAGTTGAAATTCATTATCTCTCACTTCAATATCTCTAATACCATAGACATGTCTAAATCAGTAATGAGTTTCAATCATCTTTTCTCTATGTATTTTAACCTTGAATGATACATGTATTTCAAATCCTCGGATATCTCAAAGTTTTTTCTTGGTCAGATTGAGTTCAAGAAAAGGTTTGACTGTATTCTGAACAGCACATACACATTTTATTGAAAGGACCCACATATCAAGTATACATAGTTTCATTTCTAAGGTGTTATTAAGACCATCACCTGGTCCTGAGCTTCAAACTCCCCTTACTCCCCACCCCCACCCCTTTCTAAAAAAAAAGGGTAATTTACTATACCTCTTGATCTTATAGTGTTAACAATCCTTACATAGATGTGAAATGCTTTTCCTCTAGCTTCTGGTGGAATGAACTATTTAAAATGAGGTGGTAATCCTTAATTCACTTAAGTTTGATCAACCATCCAAAAAAGCTTTTTCATTCATTGAAAATATACACAAGAATTCTTTGTAGTGGCAGTAAATTGAAATGGCAGGGTGTGAGAAATGGATTCACTCAGGTATGACTGTAATAAAGGTCTGGCTAGGGGTGGAATTAACCAGAGATGGGTCAGCGATTCCAGCTGATGAATGCTGGAGTCTTAATGACTAGAATCTGTTAATAGGTTTTTTTTCTGGATCAGGGAAGAAACATAAATTCTCATACCTTGAAAGACTGTAATGTTAATTTAATTGTCTATCAGAAATTTTATATCTATGTTTTGGATAGGAGACAATTTAGTCATTTGATTAGACATTTCTCAGTCAGTTAGACCCAATCTGCTCCAAATGTTTTTCATTTTTTTAATTTTTTTTTTGCTTTGGCATTGATTTTGTCACAGTGCAAAGTATCAACATTGTAGAAAGTCAATGAAAATACAGAATTCAAAACATCTTATAGTAATACTTTATATGCATCATAACAAAGTTTTATCAGTTAATAGGATTTTGTTTGTAATTTAAAGGGACAGAGAAAATACCCAAAGTTAATTCAGAAAGCTAATGAGATCTTTGGATATTGCTTTAGATCAATATGGGTTCTTAATGGAATTATTTTCTGTGAACATTGCAAACACTTTATAAAGTTAGATTAAGTCAAAGGAAGAAGAAACAGAACAGAAATCTATGAAAACTGCTGCAAATGTAGCTTATAGACTCAGAATTATGAACTCCATCTGCATACATTTAGATAAATAATTATCATTTTTGACACTAGAAATTCTTTGCATGGAAAATGAGCAGGAAGAACACAAAATAATAGAATTTAATAGTTTATAAAATGTTTTCATTTAATCAAATATTATGCAAAACAGCTTAAATGTAGAATAGGATACTGTGTAGTGCCAAATTTTATGCAGAAAAGAAAGAAGTACTTACCAAAGCAGATAAGAAAATGAATTGGTCCTGGAGAGCTCTGTGAGGTTAAGAGACCTGGATTTGGTAAAATGGAGAATGAGTTAAGATCCTAGCTGTAGAACTCTCTCTCTCTCTCTCTCTCTCTCTATGAAGGTACAAAACCATGAAATTGCCTGGACTCATCAAACAATGAATTCCAAGTCTTGACACATTTAATGTAGGTGAAAGTAATTCTTCTGTGCTGTCTCTAATTACAAAATTAATTGTGTTTGACCAGAACTAACACACTTGAGGCACAGATCGCATTGCTCTCATTGTGCAAGAGACAATGAGAATTTAATGAAATGATTTCAGACCCAGTCCTAGGGTACAATACCACATTTTGGATTTGTAAAAGAAACTTGAGATGGGCATTTTTGTTTTAGTCAAGTTTGGTTATTTTTATTTATGTGAAAAGCTGTAAAATACTTCAATCAAAGTAGAGCATTCTTTGGACTTTTAAATACTAGGTCAACCAAGCCATTGTTTGAGGGGGTAATATGACACTTGTCATAATGAGGAATACAGAACCTGCCGAGTTGGTAAATTTGAGTTTACATAAAGCGTCATTCCCATTTCTAGAATTGTATGCTGGGTGTCCTAGATGGGCAAATGATTAATGTAAATGCTCTGAATGCACTTAACCAATACAGTAGAGCCTTGATATCTCACACTTTGAAATCTCATTCAGATCTGACACAACATAGAAGTATGCAGTTTACAAAGGATATCATTCATGAATTCTTTTCTTTTCACCAAATCCAGACAGTCACTGATATTTTTACTGCTCATTTAGAATCTGAATTGACATAAAGGCCCTTTCACAGTTGGCGTACAAACACTTTACAACACTTTGCGATCAGAATATTTTAGCTTCGCACGAGCTCTTGCATGAGTTGCACGATGTCTCACATTCGTTGCATGCGTTTTTGTGGTCGCGTCAAGTCTCCTCAAAATAGTGGACATGCACACTATTCAGACGCGACCGAATGCGATCCAAATTATCGCAATGCAATGCACGAACATTAGTACGAACGTCTTACAACGTTTTGTGTACTCGCAAGAGTGATGCACGATTTTTAAAGGTCGTAAGATGAATCGCAGCATTCAATGTGTGTGTTTTGCGACAATGAGACTGTTGTTCAACGTGTCTCATGTAATCTTGCAACGTTTTACTATCATTGCACTATTTATAAGCTTCAATTTGTCATGCAAATATTATATATATACACCGTACATAATATATAAATACACCAATACGATATCAAACCGCCGAAACACTTTGCTATAATAGTAATACAGTCGGTAATTAATTACTCATTTAGAAGGATGTCAATATTAAAGGTGCTTAGACACAGATTTGAACTTAATATTTTCTCAATTTTTCTGTATAATATCACGACTTATATATTGCAATAGCATTTCACATGAAAATATAATTAAAAACTTATTTTATCTGGAAATTATTGGAACTACGAATTCCGGGACGCGTTTGATTAACACATCTTTGCACTTACACAAATTTTAACTTTATCCTTAAAATTTAAGAAAAGAAGCGATTTTGTTATGTATTAATGAAAAATATTACATCTTTAATCCAGAAAATTCAGAGTAGAAATGTTCAAAAGCAAAACCAAATCACCAGTATTGTCAGTCCGTGCTCTGTGATGTGTACAGAGTTTAACAAATTGAACACACCCGTGAAACGTAAACTGTTTTTATAAACAGGGCACGAGCTCTGTTATTGTTAATGTTTACGATTCACCGGGTGTGTTCAGTTGTTAAACTCTGCACACACCACTGAGCACGGACTTCCAAAAAACTGTGAATGGGTTTTGCTTTCGAACATTTCTACTCTGAAATTTCTGGGTTATAGTTTTACTATTTTTCATTAATACACAACAAAATGGCCAATTTCTTAAGTATTAAGAATAAAATTAAAATATGTCAAAGCGCAAGGATGTGTCAATCCAACGCGTCCAGAAATTCGAAGTTTTAATAACTTTGAGATGAAATAAGATTTTTATTATATTTTAGTATGAAATGCTATAGCAACATATAAGTCATGAAATTATACAGAAAATTTAAGAAAATATTAACTTCAAATTTGTGTCCAAGCACCTTTAAGAAGAAATCAAAATAATTGCAGCACTGTGTTGCGTCCTCTAAATTTAAAATTGCGTGGCTGATGGGTGTTGCCTAAAAGTACTCGCACTTGCATTCGTTCCATGAAATGCATGATCGCCCGAGCGCCGCACGTCCAATCGCATTAGCGCACGTTCAATCGTCCGATCACCTGATCACTCGCTCGATCCTATCGCATTATCTTACAACGCTCGCTTTTATTGTACAACGGTCACATATAGACGCAAGATATATCGCAAGATTTAATGCGTTTGCATCGCACAACGGTCGATTTAGATCGTGCGAATTTCGTACGAAAACTTTTTCATGTGCGATTATTTTGGCAACAGTTTACGATCCACATCAATTTTTTTCAGTCGCACTAATATTCTGTCGCTTCTGCTCGTGTGCCAATTGTGAAAGGGCCTTTAGGAAACTTGAAGTTAAAGTCAGTTTTTTATTCCCCCGGATCGAAAGATCCCGGGGGCATATTGTTTTTGTTCTGTCTGTCTGTTTGTCTGTTTATCTGTTTGTCTGTTTATCTGTTTGTCTGTTTGTCTGTCTGTCTGTTGTCAACTTTAACCTTGCCCATAACTTTTGATTGGTTGAAGCTATGACTTTCATATTTCACATGTGTATTCCTTTTGACAAGACCTTTCTTTGGGTACCATCATATTTGACCTTTTGACCTTGACCTTGGAGTTTGACCCACTTTTGCAAAATTTTATGAGACTTTAACCTTGGCCATAACTTCTGAACAGTTGGTGCTTGGGGTTTCAAACTTCACATGTGTATTTTTTGTAACAAGGCCTTCCTTTGGATACCAAGAACTTTGACCTTTTGACATTGACCTTGGAGTTTGACCTACTTTTGAAAAACTTTAACCTTGGCCATAACTTTTGAACAGTTGGTGCTTGGGGTTTCAAATGTCACATGTGTATTCCTTGTGACAAGACCTTCCTCTGGATATCAACCTCTTTGACCCTTTGATCTTGACCTAGGAGTTTGACCTACTTTTGAAAAACTTTAACCTTGGCCATAACTTTTGAACGGTTAGAGCTAGGGCTTTCATACTTCACATATGTACTCCTTGTGACAAGACCTTCCTTTGGATACCAACCACTTTGACCTTTTGACCTTGACCTAGGAGATTGACCTACATTTGAAAAACTTTAACCTTGGCCATAACTTTTGAATGGTTGATGCTAGGGCTTTCATACTTCACATATGTACTCCTTGTGACATCACCTTCCTTTGGATACCAACCACTTTGACCCTTTGACCTTGACATAGGAGTTTTACCTATTTTTGAAAAACTTTAACCTTGGCCATAATTTTTGAATGGTTGGTGCTAGGGCTTTCATACTTCACATATGTAATCCTTGTGACATCACCTTCCTTTGGATACCAACAACTTTGACCTTGACCTTGATGTTTTACTTACTTTAAAAAAACTTTAACCTTCGCCATAACTTTTGAACAGTTGCAGCTAGGGCTTTCAAATTTAACATTTTTTATGTTTTGGCGTGGATTTTGACTTGCATTTGAGAAACTTTAACCTTAGCCATAAGCTGCCATACAGGGGCATCAGTGTTTCTCAAACACACCTTGTTTTTATATCAATCTATTGTAAACCAATCATTGTGCTTTTTACAGCTACTTTTATAGAAGGAAAGGTCATGACTATATAAGCATAAATTACAAGTGTAATTGTTTGTTAACACATAATCCTGTTTTTTAGTGTGTAAAAGACAAAATTAAGCAACATTGTTGTTTTTTATATCTAGTTAAAATGACACATAACTGATTGACCACTGAGGTGGTGGTAAATATGGAACCATGGATTGCACTTTTATCATTCCAATTAGCTGAGAATGGTGGTAAAAACAGGACCACTTGTACATACAGAACCACTAATATCATGATACCAATAGCTGAGATGGTGGTAAATACAGGACCACTTGTAAACAGAACCACTAATATCATGATACCACTAGCTGAGATGGTGGTAAATACAGGACCACTTGTATATGGAACCACTTATATAATTACCACTAGCTGAGATGGTGATAAATACAGGACCATTTGTATACAGAACCACTAATACCATTACATTTGTACCACTAGCTGAGATGGTGGTAAATACAGAACCAGTTATATACACAACCACTGATATCATTACTTTTGTACCACTAGCTCAGATGGTGGTAAATAGAGAACCACTGATATCATTACCATTGGCTAGCTGAACTTAGTGATGAATAAAACTTGATTTTGACTTCAATTCAGGATTGCATTTAAGTAATATACATACTCATAGGCACAAAGATGTTATTTATTTCAATTTTGCTGATGGATTTTTAGCTCACCTAAACAAAGATGGGGGACCTTATGTAATACCCTGGGCGTCGGCATCCCAGGTTAAAGTTTTTGGTGCAGTTTTCTTTTCAAGTACATCTATGGCCTATATTAATCAGAGATTCTTGGAGGATGCTTCTGATATGTTTCATTGTACCGGTCAAGGTTTCAGATGTTGCAATTTCAGCTGAAGAATGACCAGGTTGATGTTTTTGGAGCAGGTTTGAGTTCTTGGAGCAGGTTAAAGTTTTTGGAGCAGGTCTCATTTCCAAGTAACTATAAGCCCTATATTGACCAAACTTGCATGGATGATACATCTAAGGATCACACTACTGGACTTGCTTCGGATGCTGTATCTGACCTACATTTTGCGGATGAGTGACCAGGTTAAAGTTTTCGGAGCAGGTCTCATTTCCAAGTAACTATAAGTCCTATATTGACTAAACTTGCATGGATGATACATATAAGGATCACACTACTGGACTTGCTTCGGATGCTGTATCTGACCTACATTTTGCGGATGAGTGACCAGGTTAAAATAAACTACAAGGGCTATCTGAACCAAACTTGCATGGATGAGGCATCACAGGATGAACACTCTCAAATTTGCTTCAGATGCTGGATATGACTTACATTTTCTGGATGAGTGACTAGTTTTAAAGTTTTTGGGTAAGTCCATTCCTAAGTAACTGCAAGCCCTATCGTGCCAAAATTGCATAAATGTTACATCTAGGGATGCACACTACTAGATTATTAGTTTGGGACTTTGCCTTACTTAAAGACAACATTCATTGAGGTGAGCTCTGTAATCTCTGATTACCTATGTTTTTAGTTATACATCAATTTTAGCTCACCTGAGCCTAAAGTTCAAATGAGCTTTTCTGATCGAAACATTTTGTCCAATTTATAGGAAGATGTTAGTAACTAAGAACTAATTAACTCAGGGAAAAATTTTGACAAATTCCATTTACAGGTATTTGGAGGGAGGTATAGCCATTCTTAGTGGTACCTGCATGTAAACAACTGTCTTTCTTTGACAAAGATATTGGACGTCAATCAATGCTTGGATTTCCACTCATGTTTTACATTGCAGGAAAGAAGAAAAAGATGGACTTCTGTATATGTGGCAAGGTTACCATGGAGATGTAGAGGTTGTAAAATACCCAAGTCTATTTGGTATTCCTATCAGAAAAGTTGCTATAGGAACAGATCACTCTGTTTTCCTCACATATGATGGTCGGTTGTTTGCCTGTGGAAGCAATGACTATGGTCAGCTAGGAGTGGGTACAGGGAATGAAAACCATGCGTATGATCCAGTGCTGATTTCTGGTTTGTCAGGTACAATACTGTTGTCTGGTTCTGATGTTAGCAAAAAAGCTTAAAGAGTATAAAGACAATACAGGAAAATCAATTATTTTAGAATAGTTTTTCTTAATAATGAAGCAATTTACAAGAACAATATTTACATTTAAAAAAAAACATTTAACTCACACATTTTCATACAATAATTTTAGGTGAGAGTATTAAAGATGTGGCCTGTGGCTCCAATCATTGTACAGCAGTCACTAAATCTGGTCAAGTGTACTGTTGGGGGGATTCAAGGCAGTACCAGTGTGCCTCCACAGAAAAGAAAGTGACCACCCCACAACTGGTCAACATCAGCAAAGTCAACTCTGAACATTGTGTGCATGGTGTCTCCCTGGAGGATGAGGATGTTACAATTGTCAAGGTGTCCTGTGGGAGTACCCACACTGTGGCCTTGTCTGACGCTGGGGAGGTGTGGGTTTGGGGGTCAGGGGAAGGGCTTGGGACCAAGAAGACTTCTACTGCTTCACCTGTCATCCTGGAGAGATTAGTGGGGCGAAATGTCCTGGGTATAAGTTGTGGATTTACCCACACCCTAGCTGTGGTGGAGAGGAGTTTATTGGATGACTCTTATTCCTCAGTGAAAACTAGAAGATCAAGAGCCTCTGAGACAACCACTCATAAAAACCTTCCAAAAACTTGTGCCAAATGTAATTCTGAGATATACACCTATCTTGAAACCAGTGATACCTGTATTATTAGTGAAGAACACCTGTGTCAGTGTGATGATTCATCTGAAACCCCTGCCTCCTCAGGTGAAAAATCTGAGGGGGAATTGGTGCAGAAATCCAGAAAAAGCGAAAGCTGTGATGATGTTTTTGAAAGTCCCGAAGAAACGAGTCGGAAGAAAAGTAGTGATCATAGTCTTTCACAGACTCTCAAAATTGTTGAGGATCATTCTGAGGAAACTCATGAGGAGGATGTGTGGGTGAAGCAAGACAGTTCTAATACTGGAGTATACCCATTGGAGAATACAGCAGAAAGTCATGGTATGCACAAGTGCCCAGGATCCAATAAGTTGGCAGCAGGGAGCTCTGTCAGGTTTGTCAATGAAGAGGAAGCCAGAAAGTACCTAGCAGAGCAGTATGAGGACAAAAAAGAGGAAGAGGAAGTTCCTCCACAACAGGAAACAGCCACCTCCACAACACTTGGAAGTCTGTTCTCCTCAGTACAAATGTATCCATCTGATGTGATGGGTCATATTTCTTCTGTTCCTCAACAAATGTCCTCCATGACCAGTAAAGCCTTCACTAGTATAACTGATAGACTGGGCTTTACTACAGATAACAAACCAAAGGATAATGCCTCTGAAAGCAGCGGGACTGGGTCAAATCTGTTTCTGGCAGGATTTGATACTTCAGAGGAGGATTTAAGATCTCCTGGGGTGGAGGATCAAGGGAACAGATCTTCTCAGGAGACTAGTTTCATAAGTGATAGCAGTACTGATGATTCAGCAGAGAGGCTGTCATTGAGGACCATACAGGCCAAACAAGAAAACCTTTGTAAAATGGTCCCTTGTGGTATGTCTAATGAAAATTGTCATATTGCCTAGTGATGTATTATTATCCAGTTTCCTTTCCCCAAAGAACAATGAGAAAAACTAACTCCCACTTGTAATGGAATATATATTTCTCTTGTTTTTCTAGATCAGCTTCCTGTCATCACAGAAACATCAGATACATTTATCACCTTGGAAACAGAGGTATGGTCATGGGGAAAAAACAACAAAGGTCAACTTGGCCATGGAGATGAAATTGACAGGTCAGTTTGTATTTGTAATGATTTAAACTACTTGTATTTGATATTATACCCTGTAAGGGTCTCACTGAATGTTTGACTGTCAATGCAGAAATCAGCCTGAGGTTGTGAGGACTCTGAATGGTGCTAAAGTGGTGAGGGTGTGTGGTGGGGGATACCACTCTCTGGCTCTGACTGCTGACTCCAGGGTAAGATGTTCCTCTTCTCATTTAAAACTGGAGAACCATTCATTGATGTTGCTTATATGTGATTAAGTCTAGAGTTCATCATTCTTGTCTGTTTGGTTATTCTGTTATCACTAGTAATCTTTATTTCATTCTTAACTTTGTAAAATGTGCATGTAGAAAACCTCTAGAATTTACCATAACACTTGGAGGGAGTAAATAAATTATAAACTGTTATAAATATACTGTTAGTGTATTGCATTTAATTTTCTTAAAAAATAACTTTGCAAAAACAATAATCCTGTGTAACTCTTCATTAAAACTGAGTATAATTAAGCTTTCAAAATGAACAATAATTAACATAAATTATGTATAATAGGTATACAGCTGGGGCTTCAATGCTTCTGGACAACTTGCTCGGACAGACAATACAGCCAAGCCTTGTACAATACAGGTACAGTAATTTATAAGAACTTGATTTGTTGGAAAGGATATTTTTCTTAATATATGAAAGGGAAATATCTCTATTTGTTGTTTACAGCTGATGGACCGGTGTTATGTGTGGGATGTTGCTGCAGGGGAGAAATTTTCCATGTTTCTGATGGACAGGGATGGATTTCAACCAGAAATACACTTTGTGGGAAAACATCCATGGTAATTTAAGGATTTGTCAGATTTATATGGATAGCTTGACAATAACACTCCCAGCACACTGTTACTGAAATTAAATCAGAATTGTTCTGACAGTTTTGAAAATAATCATCAGGGAGATGTACATGGAAATGTATTCTGATGATATGTTTGTCAATATTTAATTTTACATGTACATTTTTTTAGTGAAATGTAATTTGGCAATAAAGACAGATTTTATATTTTATATTCCTAAGGATGTCTTGTTTATATATTGTAGTCGGGATCTGTACGTTCCAGTGTATAAAACAAACCGCCTTACTCACCTTAAGTTCTTGAAGCAGGTAAGGCTTTCTTTCCCTAGTACAGTAAAACACCATTATAGTGAACAAGCTTATATTGAATTACTTACACTGGAGTGATTTTCATTCCCTGCAGTTTTAAAACAAACTTATTTGAAAAAACAAATTTGATCATAAGGAACCAGAATTGTTCGTCCCTGGCACTTAGCTATGTGTGTTTACAGTATAATTTTGCATGATACTCTGGATTATAGACTTTCATTAGTTTTGTTTATGAATTTCATTTTTGTAGGATGTTTTCTTCATTTTTGAACATGTGTTTGCAGGCTGGATGGGTGCGTGCAATATCAGCAGGGGAAGATAACTCTGCATGCATATCCTGTTGGAGTTTTACAGGATTTACAGCTTCACTGTTTGAAGTGGCCGCTTCAGAGAGGCGATTTTACAGTTATCTCAATCGCATTGTTAAATCTGTGGTTCATCCCCTTAAAGAGTCAAGTAAGATAGTAAAAGTAACTAAATGAACCTTTAGAATTCTTCTACAAGAACAAAATGTCTGCTTTGCTTTGTATTTAAAATGTGAATTTATTATTTTGTCTAACAGGTTTCTTCAGTACCTTAGATGTGTTTCCATACAAATCTTGTACTCAGAATCTGCTGGCAGCATTTGAAAATATCACTAATCTAGTAAGTTACCATGTCTGTGCAAATGTAATTTATATTTTGAAAAGTTCAAGTATTGTAGTTTTCTTAAACACTAGTACATGTTTAACTGAAAATTGGTTTTTGTCATTATCTACTTGTAGATTGGTGAGAATTCAGTCGACTTGACTAGCAGGATAAGATCTATGGATAATTTTTTGGAGGCTAACTTTTTTACAAAATGTGAAGACATTATTAGTGAATTTAAGATTTTCTCTATAAGCTTTGCAGACATGTTAGCTATTGGTGGATTAGAATTCTTGTGCAAAACTGGAAAGTGAGTGTTGCATTAAAACACATATTAATCAATTTCTTTCATTGTAATTTTTGATTTTCTTTTAGACCTTGTGAAAAATAATAGTACATGTAACAATACATATAAGATATTTCTTACAGACAAAATATTAAAACAGCAACAATTGTTTATCAGATAATATTATAGTAAAAAATAGAAAAATTCATATAGGAACCTTATGCATTTACTTTCTGAGGAAAAAAAACTAAGTCAATATACTGTATATCCATTTTTTTTCACGTGTTGCAAATTTTGCGAAAGGGTAGAATTGTATAGTTTTTATTTTGTGTAAGTTATTTTTTGGGATTCAAAAAAAAAAATTTAAAAAGGTAAAGTTTTTATGGCACACAATAACCAATATAATTTCTGCATGTTTTATTTTTTGTGAATTAAAAATGATCGCAAAAAATGCGAAAATTAGATCATCGTGAAAAAAAACTGATATACAGTATAATGTGTTTGTAATTTCTATAATAGGCCATTTTTTGATACCTTGGATAAGGATCTGCAGGCATTATTAGACGGGTCTAAGTACAGCAAAAAGAACATGGCAGAAAAGTTACAAATCTTGTTTGATCGACCGTTTAGTCATGTGAAAGAGTACTGCAGACTTACAGAGAAACTCGCTTGTAACTATGAAGCAGTAAGACTTTTTTTATACACTGTTTATATGAATTATAACAGAAAAAAATTAGCTATGTGCAAATGACAAGTGCTAAAAGACAATATTTGGTACTGTGTTGTGTGTTGTAAAAAGATTTTGAAATGGAAGATTTTTTACACAACAAAGATTAATTTAAAGAATGTTTGTGTTTTGGAAACAGGAAGCTGCAGAGTACCGATTGTTGAGCAAGGTGACCTTGCAATGGCAGACCTTGAAACGAACGACTAGTAATGAACACAAGATTGCAACTAACACCAAATCATTTTGGGAATCTCTGAATTTCCATAAGTTAATTGTAAGCCTATCTTTTGAATATATTTGTTACTTCTCTAAAGGTGTTCTGGGTACTACTAGAAAAAATAAAAACTTTTCTGATTGAGATAGATTTTTTTTTAAGAATTTACAAGATTTTAAAATTTAATTTTGTTTAGAAATGAGAAGAATTTTTATTATTTAAGCAAATTTATATTTTTTGTATAGGGCATGTGCTATATATACTCTGTTATAATATGAACTGAAAAGATAGCAACTAATACATGTTCATGTACTTGAATTTAAAATCTTGAAGACTGAACAGTACGTGGTATTAACTCTAATTAGGGGAGATAACTCCAATAAAGTTCTACATCTTTCCAGGATGCAGTAAAGATTCCAACACGTCGCCTGATCCGTAGCAGCAGGGACCACCCCCTGTCTCTATATGGAGGAGGACGGATGTCCACCAATGATTTCTTCCTCTTCAATGACCTCTTTGTTCATGCTCAAGTAAATCTTTTATTATTTTAATATTGATTACCTTGAGTAAATTTCTCAATTAGCAGTTTATCAATTAACTATTCTTTTTTTCATTGGTTGAAGTTATAGCTTGATTTTGACTTTCTGACTTCTTCAACACCAAATTATGATTTCCTGTCAATAAATAAAGGGAACGAGTGTCTCATCTAATATAAGGATTTATTTCAAAAGAAATTATTACACAGCATTGTAATATAATTAACTTGCATTGATTTAATGTGATAGCTAAAACGTACCCTGGGTCATTTGAAGGTAGTATTTTTTGATTCTCTGCATCATTTACTGTAAAAATGCATTTTACAAAATTATTCTGATAAAAGCTGCAATCAAAATGCCAATCTTCATTCATTCTTATTTTAACTCAAGCAGAGAAGTTCTGCTAATCATATCCTTATTTTTCTGCTCCATGAAATAAGGAGTATGAGCATATTTAAGCCAGGACAGAGATGTCATCATTTTCATGATTAATAGCTTATGTTATTGCATTGAAATGTGAATTATGAAATAAATTGTAAAAATAAATTTTAGATATAGCAGTAGACATGTATATATATTAAATTGATATAAATGTTTGCATATATTTATATATATTTTAAAGGTACCAGTAATTGTGACATGATACCTGTAATTGTTCCCTGTAAATGAATTAACATGATGTAAGAACTAATTACCAGTATGCACCAAACATTCATTTTTGCATGAATCTCTAATTACTGTTATTGCCCAGTTTCTTTGTCACTGTGATTAAAAAATGATACATACAAAATTTAAAAGTGGTGAGTACAACATTTCATCCAGAAACCAAGACAAATGTGTGATATATGTTTGTATTTACTTATATTTTAGTACTCTACATTCCGGTCCTACCCGCTGGACACCCTGTGGATTGAAACACTGGAAGATGATAAACAAAGGTATGAACATATGCTTTAAAAATTAAATGAACAATTTTATGAAGAGAATCTAAAATTTATGAATTGTGGATGAATTAGAAAACTTTTTTGATCTTTACAACCTTTACCTGTTTGTAAATTAATGTCTGAATTTTAGAAACTTGATCTCCTTGATTATGCCAGAAGAGAAATTGACCCTGGTAGCCTCTGATGGGAATGAAAAGGTAAAATATGGAACACTGGGGATTAAAACTCACTGAATCTAAAAAAAAAGGTTTAAAGTACAATGTTGTATTCAGTGTCTCATCAAACAGTGTATCATGAAGAAGCCACATTAGTTAATATTTTTTCATCCAGAAGGTATATAAGTTACTAATTTTTTTATAAACATTAGTTAATATTTTTTCCTAAAGTTAACCACAACAGTAAATATTTATGACATGAAAGATCAGTAATGACATGGTGATCTGCATGTACATGTAATTATCAACACTGTGTACCATTTCATATTGTGACTCACACGTGGCCAGAATTCCACTAGTATCAATTTTTGTTTTTCCAGTACTTCCCGACATCTTTCCTTTATCTCTCTGTGCTGTTTCTTTTCCAGACAGAGTGGCTTGTAGCATTAAACTCAACCATCAACAAAGACCTCAGTCGTCAGAAATCTGTGTCGCGTAGAGGGAGTTCGGACCGACTGACTCCCCCAGATATTCGCTTTGCTAACCATCAGTTTATACGACATACTGTATTTAAGGGTGCCACCTACTCTGGATACTGGATGACTGGAAAAATACATGGCTTGTAAGATCTTTTTCAGATCTCAGTTGTTTTATTGTTTTAACAATAGAGTTATTATTTTTTACTCTACTTATGTATAGTGAGTATGATTGTAAATTTCAAGATTAGTCCACTTGACTGTCATTTTTCAGTGGAGAGATGAAGTGGGCAGATGGAAGAAAATATATAGGGAATTTTAAAGAGGGATTACAACATGGGTGAGGAGAAAAAAATGTGAAACATAAAACTTCTTTTCATCAAGTATGTCTTTTAAGAAGTTCAGAGAAATTTAAATAGAATTAATAAAATATACTACAATCTCCTAGATTTTTAGATAAGATTTACTTTGTTATTTTTAGACATGGTAAGCTTATTCTGAAGCAGGATGATGGGAGTGAAAGAACACAGGAAGGTTACTGGAGAGATGGACTGCTTCATGGGCTGGCCAAAGTCAGGTAACTCCTGACCTGTGTAGAAAAGTTGGTGGGGGTCAGGTGATAAGTACCAAAAAACATGAAAGTAGAGAGTCTGTATGCCAGGGACAGGCATAGTAAATAACATAAACTCTATGTACAGTATAATTTTTGAACTTATTAATGAAGTTCTTTTGAAACAATTGTAAATAGAAAAAATTGTTATATACATGTACATGGACCTTTATATATATACATGTGTACAGATATTTGATCTTATATCAATGATTCAAGGTATTCTAATGGAGATATCTATGAAGGAGCTTTTAAGGATGGACAAAGACACGGGCATGGCATTTATCGTCATGGACAACACACATCAATGGCTGCAAGTGTTTACATTGGAGAGTGGGTTTCTGACAAGAAACAAGGATACGGGATCATGGATGATGTCATGAAAGGTATTTTTTGTAAGACGTTCTACTGAAGTTCCAATATTCCATAATCTCAAATTTCATAAATTTTATGTATAGCACCATTATGTATAAATGTGCAGGGTGATCTAATAGTTTTTTCAGACTGTACTTTGGCGTCAGAGATGCTCAAGCGTCCAGACTATTAGATCTGTTTTTTCAGGTTTTACAGTTTGGTTTTATTGTTTCAAAGGAGAGAAGTACATGGGTTTGTGGCAGGAGGATATCCGACAGGGCGGTGGTATTGTGGTCACGCTTGACGGAATGTACTTTGAGGGAAACTTCACCCAGGACAAATTAACAGTGAGGCACATTTTCTTGATTGTAAACATTACATGAAAAACATTGGTTTAAACATAAATGCCATCCAAATCAATTTTTTGGGAGGCCATTATAAAACTAATTCATTTTTGACTGTATTAGTACCTTGCATTAGAAATATGAAAAAGTCGTTGACTTTTATTTTTACCTGGTATATCTGTAATCCTTACTGGTTATTTTGACAGGGTTTAGAATAAATGTGACTTCTATTTTTGTTGTTTCTTAATTATAAGTTATTCTAACAGGGGTATGGTTTAATGCTTACCTATGATACCAGTACCTATGAAGGAGAGTTTGCAGGGATTACCCAGCTCCAAGGCAAGGTAAGAAAAGATGCATGTACATGTAGTACTGATTTTCAGGGTTCAACAAATTTTAATGTTTTTTTTGTGGATTTTCTGATGCTTTTTTTTTTTTTAATGTGAGAAACTTTTCGAGGAACTGATATTTTACACCATTGATACACTGATATATTGAATACCAAGGATATGTCAAAGTGATCTGAAAGTCCCAATCCTTTATTCTTTAAGTATTTTTCTCCTGATATCTTGAATCCTTGCATATCTTGAAATTTTTTCTTAGGCCCATCGTGATCAAGATAATGAGGTTTGACTGTACTTGTACATACAGTACATGTACATGTATATGTAGAAATGATGTCAAAACTGTGCCTGTCTTAATTATCATACCTGCCAACCTTCTAAAACATTCAGAGGTCAAATAAGGCATGACAACATTTTTTTAGCTACATTTCAGAAAACACTTACTGTAGATCACCAAATATTTGTGACACCTTATTTTCACGAGATAGGTATTTGGTATTTATAAGCAAGACAAAAATTTCATGAATGCTGGTTATGCTGTATATATCCTATGCCAATAAAAATATACACGAGAATGAAATTTTCGTGAGCAGACCATCTCGTGTAATTGTGCGAATTTAAAATAAAGTTCTCACGAATAAAAAGTGATTTACAGTATTCAAATTTGTAATATTTTGTTTATTTCAGTCTCCTATTATAAGACATGGATGCCATTTTGGCATTTTAAGCACTTTTTTTTAGAAGGGCTGTACTCATAACAATAAGAAATTTTAATTTGTTTGACACGCAGTACAGTTAAGGCAACATTTTCTATAAAAAGACACTGAAAACAAGACACTTGAAGTTTAACCGTCTTATTTTCTAGCATACGACTCTACTGAAAATATCTTTGTGTCTTCTTGAAGAGTGTGTCCTTCGCTTTTAATATTGATATTTTTTGTCATCATGTGACCCTTAGTAGTCACGTGGGCTCCTACTTTAGCTCAAGATATAAAATATCAAATTTAACTGAAAAGTTCAAGGGCAAGGCAAAGAAAAATTACACTGCACAAGGTTTCAATGTGTCCCCAAATATCTATCCTATCTCAAAAATAATGCTCATTCAGTTAGATTTCTGGTATTATTTAGTTATTCAGTAAAAACAAAGACTGGTATTGAAAAAATAGGGTACTTTCCGCATTTCATGTGAAATAATAAATTACTTAGCGAATTACAGAGAAATGAGCATCACTTTTCAAAAAGTATGCAGTAAAATAAACAATTTAATACAAAAACCTACCTCTTCATATGTCGCCTTGCCCTTGAACTTTTTAGTTTAAAATCGAAGTCTTGAAACATTCATTCTAAATATAGTTTTCAAACGCATTAGTGACCCGGCACGGGAGGTAACTCTTTGGTATTTGTAGAGTTTGTTTACCTCGCGAATTTGAACATGTAACATCTACAGAGTATGCTAGGCTTTATTCTACTTATTCAAAACGGAATGCATATAAAGATCTTGACTTTAATTACTTTCCTTTGTATGTCTTCGTCCTTTTCATACACCAGACAAGACCTTGTTGAATACCTTCCGCATTTTCTCGACGATCTAGGCCTTTATCATGTACGTATATACATGTATAACAATCAAGTTTATCGGCACTGCCGCAAAGTACATCATATAAGTAAGATTGAAAAAATGTCCATTACTAAATTTCAATCATTTCTGATAAACGTTTAGATCTCCCCTCCCTCATATGATGAGAAACCATTCATCTCCCCCCCCCCCCCCCCCACACAGACATAATAAAAAATACATATCTACAACAGAATGAAGTTTCACATATGGGTTTTCCTCAGTGGCTCTCCAAAATCTTCTTTTGTTTAAAAGTTCCTGTTGGCTTATAAATTACTCAAATATAAAAACCAGGTGAGGATTATTTACACCTGTTAATATAATTAGTTCTATCCTCCTTTGTGCATATCTAACCCCTTATATTTTGCTTCTTAGCTCCCTTGATAAAAGGACAATGATATATACTTGGGCATTGTTAACTTGTAAACATCATGATCTAGTTTTTATTTATTAGGATATAACGATTGTATCTCATTTAGAGCGGGTGCTTTCATTTTGTTTTTTAAAGGGGGGGGGGGGTGTCTTTTCCTGTGATAAACTTGTCTGTGTATAAAAGCTTAGGGATTGACATTTTCTCCAAAAAAAATGAAAGCACCCGAGCTAAATGATATAAAAATGTAATCAGAAAATAGATACTTCCTTGATACAAGTGATCATGATAAATATGTAATTATGCCAATATTAGGCTTTATTTGTTTCAATGTATCTAAAACACCATGTTCATGCAAGTCTGGATTTTCACACCTTTACAGCCTTAAAAGCTGACATTCATATCACTGTTGCCATTGAAAGATAACAGTTAAAGTATTATTCATCTAGTAAATTTATTTAATAACTACAGCTTCTCCCATACAAAGCCAGGCTGTGAGGGTAATTCTGAGCAGGTGCATAGTTTTTCCATCAAGACATGTACTCTGGGATAAAATCCATTCTAAAAATAAAATGAAATATTATTAAGTGTGCTGGTGATTAAAACAGTAAAACTTGAAACAATGTAATGAGTAAAATCTAATGAAATCACATAAAAATGTATCAAATATCTGTAACTCTGCTGTTTTTATTTATCAAAATAATTTTTAAAATAATAGTGCCATGAATATGTGTGTTGTTGATATCATTAAGCATACCTTTTTACTTGGTCCATACACTTGCTGCCTGTGTCAACACTGGAATGGTTCAAATTCTTTGTGAACAGCTACTGTAACATAAAATATACCAAAAATGTAATGAGTCAAATACATATTAGGCCAAATAAAAAAAATATGTGTGGTTCTGGTTACACCTCCAAACAAATTAGGGTTGGTAGGTAGGTTTTTTTTTTGTTTTTTTTTTTTATTTATTTATTTATTTATTTATTTATTTATTTATTTATTTATTTATTTAAATAAAATAAAAGTCAAAAATATTATTAAATGTTCTTGAATTAACTATTGGTGATATTGGTGAGATAATATTTTTGCTTTCTTTCAAGTGGTGACATTTGTAACTGACAAAACACTTGTACTGCATGTTGAAACAATGTTGTCAAAGAAGGCCACCATTGCTGAAACTAAAACTAATACCGGAGCCAATGAGGGAAATCAGGGAAAATTCCAGAAATTTGAAAATTGTCAAAAAAAAGTTTAGGGTCGGGGGTATAAAATAGGGACGATCGGGTAACCGGAACCACACATATTTTTTTATTTGGCCTTAGTTAAAATAAATGGCACTGCAATGTGCAAAACAAACCATGTAATATAACATTTTCTAAAATTCATGAAATCTTTTGTTACAAAACTTCTCTGGGAATTTTAAAACTCTGCCATTTGCAATTTAGCAATTTAAGCTTGGAAAATAACTGATTAAAGGAAACAAAATCATAAATGAAATTCTTGCATCTGTTCAAAATTGAAAAACTATTATATTGGCATACAATAAAATTATTGTGAATATATTAATAGTGAACATACCATATTTAGAAATTGTTGCATATGTTTTCTGTAGATAACTCTGGATTATATGAATGCAGCTCCTGACAGCTACAATGATGAAAGAATTGTACATCATGTATTCAGACCAGAAATATAAAATAACATGATATTCAATTTTAAATTTAGAAATATCATTCTACAGATTTAGAATTTCATAATACAGATGCTAAGAATTATTTTAAAGTATGAAACACTAGCTGGTGAAAATTTAAACTTTAAATCCTATTTTTGATTTACAGGACTGGGGTATAAAATGCATACATGCATGTATATTACATACACAATACAGTTTCACTTTACAGAAATATACACTTTATGGATGTGCTAAATTATCATTTGATATCCTGCTTTCCTTTTCAAATTACATATTAACATGATTGTACAGTGTATGTCAACATAATTATGTGTTTAGTGAATCTTTTATCAATGATTGAAATTGAACAATAATTAATTTTAATAAATTTAACAGCAAACTTTTGCAAGCCTGAAGATCTCCATGATACATAGCCTATATTCTCTCAAAAATTAGTTGAATGACAAGGAATTGCATATTCAGTGCAAATTAAACTGTTGGTGTGCAACTTCATATCATGTTTGTGTGTGTAAGGGGAGGGGGTGGGGGGGGGGGGGGTGGGGGGTTAGACACAGCTCCTGGGCACTGCCAATATATCTTCCTACATGTATACATATTATACATACACATTCGATTATTTCATATTGATGTTAACAATAGTATGTCTAAATATTGATACCTATGCGTACATAATATACGAATCTAAATATGAAAACCCCTGCAGCTGCCCAGGGTAGAGAGGTGGGGTGCAATAGCCTCAGTAGTCCATGATTTCTCTAAATATCTGCCACATCTGATAAACAAACCATAAATCTGTTACTTTATTACTGTTCTCTTTAAAAGATTTACCTGTTTGCTGTATTTTCCACCGCAAATCTCAGCTGTTGTCTCCACGTCCTTTAAGTAAACAACATTCCGTGTCACTGAGTGCAAGCGCTTGGCTGAAGCCGAGTGCAGCCAAACGACACAATAAAAAGCGAACTATTTCGACAATATGATGTTCTAAACAAGAGAAAATCACTACTTCTAATTTATTTAAAGACAAGAATACGGACATTTGTTACAAATTCTTGCAATTGTCGTTAAATAGTTATTTTGAGCTCTAATTCCTTATATAGGTATATCAGGGCGGAGCGACTGTCATGACGTCAAACCTCATTATGACCTCATTACCATAAAAGTTTCATGGGTAGCCTTAACTGTACTGCGCAGACAAAAAAGTGCAAATAGTGTCATTTCCCAATTCAGATATATGCAATCTGTCTGAATTTTTTAGTCATGGAAAAAATACTTTCATATTGTGGGTCAGAAGGTAGGTAGGTTGGAATTGGGGGAGACAATTATGACCCCGATGCATGATCAGTGGTAGGCAGTGATGATGTGATTTTGGGGGTGTGACCTTTAAATTGGGGGGTCAGCTGGCAGGTATGGTTTTTTTTGTAAATACATGTATGTATGTATTAAAGCTTTTGCAGATTACAGTATGACTCCTCTCCAAAAATTAACAGTTAGAAATCTTCATTAAAAAGTGGCTAACTGCACTAGATTTTAATAAGCCATACTCTCTGTTTATCAACCAGCTTTTGATTGTGAACTGAAAAATTGCCAACATGAACTAATGAATCTCTGTGTTATTTACAGGGTAAGTTGACGATGCCAAACCATGACACCATTGAGGGCACATTTAGTGGATCATGGAATGAAGGACTCAAAATTAATGGAGTATTTAAGAAGGCTGCTTATTCTGAAGTCAATAAGAAAAAAGGTCACAATAACCTCTCCCCGTAAGTATGTCATTGTCCACAAACTTTTTGGACACTCATCATCATTAGGAAAAGGCATTTTTAAAACATTTAAACCAGCATTTTTCAAACCGTATGTTTTATTTTATTATTGCCGTTATCATACTAATAGATAAATAATTTCACGTACTAGGATATTTGGTACAATGGCTGTACCTGCCAGCCAGAGATGGGAAGGCATGTTCCAGCAGTGTATCTCTGTATTCAGGGTCAAAGGTCAGGATCAACTAAATACAGAGAAAGCCTGGGAAAATGTAGCCATTACATTGTCTAAAGGAGAGAAGAGCATCATTGAAATCCATAAAAAGTAACTGTTTAAGACTGAGTATTGACTGTTATAACTGAGTATTATTGAGTTATTTTAACATTTGTACATGGACAGTATATTTATATTAGATGAAATGCATGCTTTGTTTCTATTTGTAACAGAAAAGTTATTCATATATTTTTTTTATAGCTTTTTGGATATTCAGATATTCAATAGAGTTTAAATACATTTTCAAATAATAAATTGAAATGTGTCTTATTTTTATAGTCCAAACAATAAAATTAAGCGGATCCTGAACCTGGCAGAGGAGTTGGAAACTATTCCCCCACATAGTAAAGGGAGGTTAACAGTGGAGTACTACAGAGAGATTAGGCAGTACCTACATAAGGTAGGTTTGGAGAATTGATGGATGAATAAGAAAGAGATAATAGTATAGATGAGAAAAGATACAAGCATTGATAAAAGTTCAATTAAAAATTTTTTTAGACATGATTATACAAACATATAGTTAAAAGTATATCAGATTTGTGGTGTGATTAAGTGGTATTGTAGATGTGCAGTCAAAAAGCCATTGATTAAGAAAATATAAAGAAAGTGTTTCTTTAAAATTGTACTAGATAGAGAGAAAAAAAAGACTTTACAAGCTTGATTTAAATCATAAAATGATCAAAATATTTCTTTTTGGAGAGCATTCATATATAACAATGTCATTTATTAAAATACTGACATTGACCTCAGAGATTACTATAGTATGGTTTGACCACTGACTTGAAATTACATACATAGAAAAATCAACAAAAAAATTGGATTATAGAAGTCTATGGGGTTAAGGTTGTGAAAGTAAGGAAAAATGAATTATTCACACATGAACTTTTGATTGCAAGAATGTCAGGAATATTTGTTGTCAATTATGTGTAATTCTTGTCTTGTATATGGTATGCTTTATTTCATAAGGCTTTTGACTTGCCTTTTCACCCTCTGGGTAAACTGATGGAGGGACTGGTAGATGTCTTTAGAGCTGCCTATATTGGGGTTGGGGCACACCCCAGGCTTTTGGACCATGCTGTCAATGAGATTACTTCATTTGTGTATCGTTTGTATAAGTGTGTCAGGTAATGCTAACTTTCTTTAGTCGTCTGTGTTTTTTTTTGTAAAAATAAACTAGAGTAATTCAGAATATTCATCTGATATTGGATCAATTGTTAAAATCCTTACGTGAGAGAAAAGTTGCATAAAAAAAGATCTGAAGTTAAATTCTAAAATTTTGATTTTTCAATAGGATCCTATTTCCTGACCTGCCTGAAAATGGGGGTCCTATTCTGATTGAGCCCGAGACATCAGAGGAAAGGGAGATGACTCCTGAGGAAGACAAGTCGTACGCTCAAATTTCTTGAAGTGATATGGTTCAAACTTTGCATGTACATGCATTTCATTGAAGGGAGAAAAAAACTTCAACCTTATAGATTTTTTTCTTTTTAAGCAAAGAAAGTTATGTTGATACTGGTGATTAGAAATCTTATGGGAAACAGGAAATGAATTTGGCTTCATATTATGTTTATATAGAGTCAAAATAATTTATGAGTATAAGCAGAATAATTTTTTACGGAATTACTGTAAGTCCATTACATTTGGCTGTGTATTGTTTTTAGTGCCTTTGGCAGGAAGCTGTGTCCGCTTTATCATAACATCACTTAATGTCTTGGATATGTATATTTTTGACTGGCACAATGAGAAAGCACTACATCAAAGCTTCATTAACTTGTTGAAAAATTAATGTTGGCCAATTATCTTACATGCTAAAAATTATACATTTACAGTACTGTATGTGTACTTAAAAAAGTAGGCTTCATAATTTAGCAGCTATGGCACGGACAACGATGCTCTAATTCATGAATACCAAAAAAAAATCATTTATAAATACAATATACAGTGCGTTAGTGTGTAGCGCTAATTCATGAATATGCCAATAACTCTATACCCAGTGACTGCGCTAAATTTTGAATATGCCAGTTTATGTACATGTACAGTATTTTTCAGCATACATGTATCAGCATACACGTATATTAACAATATTTTTAAATGAGATCAAATAATCAAAAACAGATTCAAAATTACAAATCAATTCATTTAATATCACTAGATACAAGTACAGTGTAACAACTCAGAAGACAATAAATACATGTAGGTTACCAAGATAAAAAAAGTATCTGGAGAGATAGAATTTTTTGCTAACCAGTTTTACAAATTAATTAATTAAGAGCTTGTAATTGTAGAATGGTTGTGAGCTGTGGCACTCTCATTCATCCGATCCTCCTGCCCAAGATTTATCCTCCCCTGTTTGATCTCTATGCACTGTACAATGACAAGGAGAACGAGAAGTATTGGGAGAGAGTACGAAAGTTAAACAAGCAGGGAGATGTAGGATTAATGGCATTCCTAGGGATTGATCAGTAAGTGTGAATAACAGGTACAATTAGACAATGGGATGTGGGATTGATGGGATTTTTAAGAATAGATCAGTAAGTGGAAACATTTCGTAGAGTATGGTGTGCAGAGGGATGTGGGATTGATGGCATTCATAGGGATTGATTAGAAAATGTGAAAAATCAATACATTTAGACAAGCAGAGGGATGTGGGATTGATGGTACTCCTAGGAATTGATTAGTAAGTGGGAACAATCACTGCATTTAGACAAAGAAGGGGGTGTGGGATTGATGGCATTCCTAGGAGTAGATCGGTAAGTGGGAACATTTGTGTGATGCACAGGGTGATGTGGGATTGATGGTATTCTAGGGATTGATTATTAAGAGAGATCATTCAGTACTTTAAGACAAGCAGGGGAATATGGGATTAATTATATCAATAAGTTTGAACACTCAGATGTAAGATTAATGGCATTCCTAGGGATTGATCAGTGGAATGCTAGGTATAGGTAGAAAAGCAGGGTAATAGTGATTGATTTGTAGGGATTGATCAATAAGTGTGGCATTCTTTTGGATTGATAATTAAATGTGAACACTGTACATTTGGACATACAGGGGACAGTGGGATTGATGGCATTCTTAGGGATTGATCAGTAAGTGGGAACACTCGATACATTTACACAAGCAGAGAGATTTGGGGTGGTATTCCTAGGGATTGATTTGCAGGAGTGAACACTCAGTACATATAGACAAGCAAGGGGATGTAGGATTGATGGAATTCTTAGGGATTGATCTTGGTACATTTAGACAAGCAGGGGGATTTGGGATTGATGGCATTCTTAGAGATTGATAAGTCAGTGTTAACATTCTGTATAGTTAGAAGAACAGGGTTGTGGGATTGATGGCATTCATAGGGATTGATCAGTTAGTGTGAACACTCGGTATAATTAGACAAGCATGGGGAGTTGGGATTGATGGCATTCTAGGGATTGATCAGTCAGTGTGAACTCTCGGTATAGTTGGACAAGCATGGTGAGTTGGGATTGATGGCATTCCTAAGGATTGATTGCATGGTTAGTATGAACACTTCACATGTAGACAGGCAGCAAGATAATTATGGGATTGATGGTGATCCTTAGGATTGATCAGTCAGTGTAAATGCCCAGTACAGTAAGATGAGCATGTGGTTGTGGGATTGATGGCATTCCTAAGAATTCATCAGTACCTGTGAATACTGAGAACCATTATTGCTCTGTAGTTAAAGAATGAGTATGCATCTACCAATATATGTATCTCAGAAAGATAATTTGGGGGGTGTGCCAAAATTAAGTTTAAATTCAAGTTATGATCATATTGAGGAAGAAGTGAGAGTTGTGAATCAATAAATTTATACATTATGTATAAAATATTTTGTAGGAAGTTCTGGCTCCTTGATGCATTGCTGCGGGATAAATCAAAAGTAGGTTTTCTGAAATGTGAAGACAAGATTAAAATACATATACACTCCTTGCTTAGTCATGGAAATTTTTTTCTACTTTTCAAAATGCGGTAAAAAAAAAAGTTTAACTTGAAGCAAGTTATCCCCATAAAATTAAACTTCAATCATGTTTTGTAAGATCCTTTATAGGGATGGGTTTCGCCAAAAATTTTGTTTCGCGATATGTCACGATTTTTTACCAAAATATCACGATAATATCATGATATTTCTACTATAAATTTTTACAATGATTTTAAATGAATATTCATAATTTTTTTCTAAAAGTATGCTGGAAAAAACTTCACATTTCTCATTCTTTTATTTACATTTATATAGACCTAAAGAAAAAAGCATTTGCTTTAATAGATCTATGCATTATATAAAGCATGATTGGATGCTAAGATGTCGTTCGTTTACTGTTTTCAACAATTTTTACTCTTCTTGTTATTGTAATTTGAAAGATTGAACAAATGAATGAATAAATTCTTGAATTTATAATTATGTACATAAATACCAATATTTAAGTCTCTGTATCATGATACGTATCACGCAATTAAAAATTACAATATACCGGGTCCCGATAAAATCGCACAACCCTAATCCTTTATAAAATACGTATAATATATAAAATCTTTAGCCTTTATGTACATGTACATTTATATTTTAACCTTTATTGTCCTCTTTATATTTTATAGAGTTTGTCTGCCCTGAGGGATCATTGTTATCTCTCCTGTATAGAAACTCTACAGCACATCAGGTCAGTCAAAAAAGAAAATAACATCAAATACAGAAAATAGGACTGCTACACCTCACAGGTCAATCAGGTCAAAACCCTACAACACAAACAGTCTGTCAAACAAAAAATACTACAGTTTTATTAAAGTCATATATACAGAAATATATCATTCATAGGAAAGAGATACTACTGCATATCATACACTATAGCACACCAGTATACTTAAAAACCTGCACTGCTAAACTGGTTAATACAAACAATATAAAAATCTATAGCACATCATGCAGTTAAAATTCTAGATTGCAAATTCAGTTCAGTAAAAAAAAAAACCTAGACTAAAACACATCAGGTTAGTAAAAATCCTACACTAAAACACACTGTGTTAGGAATACACTACATTAAACTGGGTCATAAAAATCCTACACTGCAGCATATAAGATTATCAAAACCATACATTTTAGCCATCAGGTCTCCAAAAATATACACTACAACTCATCAGGTCAGCATAAAACCTACAATGGTTGTCCCCATATATTCTGTAGACAAATGTAGTTTTGTAGGAAGTCAGTGTCATAAATTATGGAAACTGAAGAAGCATAAAAATGATACAAAATAGATAACAAAAATCTATACAGTCTATAAACCTTGCCAAGACATACATGTATTTGCGAAGTTCAAAATTTCAGATATGTTAATTATGAATAGAGACTACTCTGTGCCATTAGCTGAAGCATGACTCCATGTGAACACTTCATTTATTAATTATTGGATCATTATGTGTCTATGTTTGTTCATGTACATGCATGTGTGGTCTGACCTTATTTCTGTATTTTTGGATTTTCAGCACAGCATTTAGTCCCAAGGAGAAACTGGAGGTCATACAGAAAACCTTCTCAGAAATCACCAAGGTACCAAACACATCCAAGATTTTTGAGAAATTACCCTGTTGATGTGTTCAATCATTGATCTTTTAGAGGGTTGAATGTATAATTTTAGTGAGAGAATGCTGAAAAGTGGAATTTTTATTAGAGAATGTGCTTTATGTTTGTTCACTTATCAATCTCTGTGTCTTGAAAGCAGGATACATGTATTTTGAGATTTCTTTTCACATGGTCAAACCTGGTTATCGACAGAACCAAGATTAAACTTCGAGATAACAAATTTCGTAAAGAAAAGGTGGTTGGGACTGGCATCTCACTAGACACTTTGACATATCTCTGGTATTTGAGATATCAGTGTTTGAGATAATGAAGTTCAACTGTAGTACCAGTATTTATTCTTGAGTTGCACCGTCAATGCGATATGTTTCATCTAAAGATAATTTCTGGAGTGAATTCAAGCTGACTTTATGAATGAATCCTCACTTCTTGTAGAAAGGGAAGAGATCACAAATATGTCTTGCTCTTTCAAATATAAAACCCTATACAATTGAACTTCGATATCTCAAACATTGATATCTGGAATACCATGGATATGTCGAAATGATTTGGAAGTCCCAACTACTTATTCTTAAGTATTTTACCCTTGATATCTGGAATCCTCATACATCTCAAAGTTTTTTCTTGGTCCCATCAAGTTCGAGATAACGAGATTTGACTGTATATGGACAATTACAGTAAAATATCTTTTCTAATAATAGACTGTGCAGGAGAGCATGGGAGATGTCCAGATGTGGTGCATGGATGATTTATTCCCAATATTCCATTACATTGTCATCAGAGCACAGATACGCCACCTAGGGGCAGAAATCCACCTCATTCAGGATTTAATGGAGCGCCACCTAGAGAATGGAGAGCTTGGCATTATGTTTACAATGCTGCATGTAAGTCTAAGGAGTGGATCCAGATCTAAATATTAGAAATTTTTCTTTCAAAATTATGAGAGATGTCCCTGAAATTCACCGAGGATATTGTTTGTTATTTCCTGGAATATAAATATTAAAGATTCCTTAAATTGACCGCAGATACTATGTACTTTAAAAGACTATGGAAATGTCATGAAAATGTGTTATATAGAAACTATGAAGTCTGTAAACTGAATTGAAATTGATAATAGAAGAAACTAAGAAAATGCATGATTTTTCTTTTTCAGGCATGTTATTTTCAAATCCAGAATGAGAAGATACCAGGTCAAGGTTGATTCTACTATTGATGTATCCTAGGAAACAAAGTACACAAATACAAACTTGTAAAACCATGTGTTTACCCAGGGACCAAAGCCTTATAAAGACTTTGTGCCATGTAATTTTGTTCTTTTTGCAGTTTTCAATATGTTTAACATATCAGAATTTGTTAATATGTAGTTTTTAAAAAAAAAAAAAAATTGTTTCAGTTTTATTGTGTATGACTATAAATCATGTTTTTGATTAAAAATCTGTTTATCAGTTTTTTTTTAACATACATGTATTTGCTCATATTTAAACATGGAGAGAATTTTGATAAGGAAATAAATCAAGTGATATCTGAAATAAAACCCAGTCTTTGCTCCTAGAAAGCTGTTACATTTAAAACAAAGGAACCACATGAACCACAACACTCATGTGAATCAACTTGGCCCTGCTGTTCTTCAGATTTTTAAAAATATTTTTTTCTTTAATTTGATCCCCAAGCCCAAAAGGATAATGACGTCAACAAACTTGAATTCACACATCATGGGTATGCTTCAGTATTAATATTGACTGACATGGCCTTGCTGTTCTGGAGGAGAAGATATAATTTTTTTTCTCTGTATAGAATTTATGCCTCTATTTTAGCTCCACCCTAATCCCAGGGGTTAATGATATGAAAAAAAAAATTAAAACATGAATCCACATAACTTGGGAATGTTTGCATATTTATTTGATTTAGTGGCCCAAAGAAAATTTTATCCCCAGAAACCATGAAATGGGGTGCAGAGGGAACATAGAATCTCTAATGCGAGGGTGTGTTTGTATACAAGCTTGTGAGCAAGATTAAAGGAGAACTCTAGTACTAAGGGTCATCAAACTCTGCCAATCTGATTAAAATCAGATCCTTTGATCTGCTCACTACAATGTAGATCACTTTACAAACTTTGTAGCAATCTACTGAGATGGAAGGATTTGGCTTAAATCAGATTTACAAACTGCAGGTGCGGATCTAGAAATTTTTTTCCCGGGGGGGGGGGGGGGGGACAGTCAAAAAAAACATTTCCAGCCCAAAAAATTCTTGACAAGCCAAAAAAAGAAAAAAAAAGAAAAGAAAAAACCACTAAATTCCCTTCCCTATCCAGTAAATTACTTGACAAGCCAAAAAAAAAAAAACACTAAAAAAACCCTTAAAAAATCCAGTTCCCAAGCGTTAAAAAACACCCATTTCGTGGTGGTGATGGTAGGGTCCACGTTTACTGGGTGGGGGTGTCCAAAGTCATTTTTTATTTGCTTCAGTATATACTTTTAATACCTCTGCAAATTCGGGGGGGGGGGGGGGGGTCCGGACCCCCTCCCTGACCCCCCTCTAGGTCCGTGCATGCACTGCATAATTATTTCAAATTGTAATAGGTTAAATCCTATTACTAGTAATTTTAAGATTATGAAAGGGTGTTTGCTTGTTAATATCACTAATCATGGCCCTGTCCTTGTTGAAAAGATTTTTCTCCATATACTGAATATTCCCATGTAAAACTTTGATCCCATATTTTAGGCATTCTACCCCAGGACATCACTATTTGAAGAAATTTGAATCTTCTCTACCTTAGGATGCTTAATTTAATTTAAACATATTTTATTGAGTAATTCAATAAGGATTGGGCAACAGGCAAGGCCTATGCACACCCTCTCCTTGTATAATAGGTCAAGACATAGACATTGAATAATAATACTTGAACATGGTAATAAACTTGCTAATAATACAAAATAAAGATTCATAATCAAGTATTATTCATCAGTATCATAAAAAAAGAATGATAACCCCCTAATTGTATACAAATTATTTACATACTGTTCCAGCTTTCATATGAATATTGTAAAAATAATATATATATATATACATTCAACAGAGTATTTAATATTATAGTGTACTCAACTAAGTCTCTTAGTAGATTTTATAAATTCATGTACATATGAAAATATTTTACAATTTGTTTGATAGGAATATTGACTTTTGCCTCTTAACAGAGTGTCGAGTTCAAAGACAACATCAATATCATTTAATTTTTTTACCAGTAAATTTCTTTGAACAATATATGATGGACATTTGATAAAGTAATGTTCAGTATCCTCTGTATAAAATCCACATTTTTGACATGATGGTACGTCTGATAAAAAATGATTTTTTAAATGTGCATTGAGATTGCTAGCATTGTTTCGCAACTGACAATGTAAGATATTCTCTTTTCTATTACCAAAGTTAAAGTACCTACATGGTTTATTAGTTACTCCCCAACTTTTAAGCTTTGCTTTAAAGATAGATAATGATGAAGAGTTTTTGATATCCTCACTAAGACTATTCCAAAGTTTTATAGTTGAGGGAATAAAACTATTATAGTAAGACATTGTTTTACAAACTGGTATACACAAGTTATTACATCCAGACCTTAGGTTGTATGCATGTGGAACTGGAAAAAAAGGTTGAATCAATTCATACAAATAATCAGGTGCAGAACCATTAATCATTTTATACATCAATATAAGTTTGTGTTTTTCTCTTCTAAGATATAATGGTTCCCATCCTAGTTCATCATACAAGCAAGTTCTGGAAGAATTAACTCTTAGTCCAGTAATAATTCTGGCAGCTTCTATCTGAACTTTTTCAAGCAATTCTGCATTACTTTGGGTACAATTATCCCACACAATATCTGCATATTCTAAAATTGGTCTTATGAAAGCAAAATAAATTTTTATTAGTGAATTTCTATCTATACTATGTTTCAATAACCTAAGTATATTCAATCTTTTACATGCCTTTTCATATATATTAGACATATGATTATTCCAAGAACCATCTGCCTGAAATTGTATCCCTAAATGAACATGAGTTTTTGATTGTTTTATATAATCACCTCCATAACCAAATTGAATGCCAGGATAACTTAAGTGTTTTCTTGTAAAATCAACATTAACAGTTTTTTCACTATTAAAATCAACAGCCCAAGCCTTGGACCAATTTCTAATTTTTTCAAGATCTTGAGTAAGGGACATTGTTGTATTAGTAATATCATTGTCTATAATAGCAAACAAAGAAGTATCATCAGCAAACAGTCGAATATTACTTGATATATCATTAGTTACATCATTTATGTATAACAAAAACAGGAAGGGACCAAGTACAGACCCTTGAGGCACCCCAGCATCTATAGTTGTATATGCTGATGAAAAACCTTCCAAATTCACTTTTTGTTGTCGTTCAGTAAGGTAGTCTTCGATCCAACCCAGTATATTACTTCTAAAACCAAGGTTTTTAAGTTTAAAAATCATTCCCTTATGCCACACCTTATCAAAAGCTTTGGAAATGTCACAGAATATAAAGCGTATATCTCTGCCTTTGTCTAGGTTTGACATAATATTATCATAAATTTCAACTAATTGGTTAACAGTAGAATCCCCAGGTTGGAAGCCAGACTGGAACTTAGACAATAAGTCATGTTCCTTAATATAATTAAACATATATTTAAAAAGTATTTTTTCCATTAGCTTACATATAGAACAAGTCAATGATATTGGTCTGTAATTATTAGGTTGTTGGGGACAGCCTTTATTTTTAAAAATAGGTGTAATATGTGCTTGTTTCCATATGTATGGAAGAACTTTATTTGTAAGTGATAGGTTAAATAACCTACATAAAGGTTTATATATAGAATAACGGGTTTCCTTTAATATTCTGGGGGAAATCCCATCTGGTCCACATGGTTTAGAGGGATCAAGTATGCTTAACTGATCAAGCACATCTTGATCACTTATTTCAAAATCACAGAAATATTCTGGAGGTCCAGCTCCATGTTCAGGCAAGTCTGGCTCATTTTCAATATGTGATATATTTGAAAAAAAATTATTAAATTCTTCAGCTTTATCAATTGGGTGAACCAATATTCTACCATCTTGTGATTTAATAGAGGATGGGGGATGCTTGCATTTTAGTATCGGTAATGGAACTGCTGTTGTTAAGTTTGAGATTTGTATGATTTTTTTCTTATACATTCTGAAGTAAAACTTCGATCCCTTATTTTGACTCTTAACCTCCCCCCCCCCCCCCTCCCCCAGACTTGAGCCAGAATTTGAAAAACATGAATCTACACCACCTGAGAATACTTGCTTATTAGTATCGTTAATCATGGACTTGTTGTTCTTGAAAAAAGGGGTGTAAACGATTTTTTTTTTTAAATTTATAAGTATTTCTTGGAAAGAAAAAGGTTTTAAAGATTCTTCTAATATGTTCGTAAAACTTTGATGTCCTTCTGAGGCCCCACCCTACTACTTTTGACCTTGGCTTGTACATTCTTTAATCTACATCGCCAGGAGTTTTCTAGAGTCCCATCCTATTTTGCTTTAATCTCCCCTTTTAAGAGAGCAGGACTTCATTTGAACGAATTTGATCCCCAAGCATGGATGCTAATAGTTTGGTTGAAATTGGTCCAGTGGTTCTGGAGAAGTCGGAAATGTGAAAAAAAGTTTACGACGGATGAGTTAAGAATTGTGTTTCTAATTTGGCGTGTTATCTGCAGGAATCGTGTGTACGAAACATTTATAGGTGCAATTGAACCAAAATATATATATTTTAGAATTTTAATAAATCAGTACATAAAATTAAACTGACAAACAAATTAATTGTTTGCATAGAAATAAAATTACGATCTATGCGAGGATTGAACCGAAAACTTCAGAATTCCAGAGTGCTCTGGACTGGTAACGCATGCTACTCGGCTTGGCCAAGATCAGGTGCCCATGTTGGTTGCAGATTAACAAAAAAAAATGAAGTCAAATGAAATGTATTACAAGTATGTTGTATGTAACACTACATCCTTTTGGCAGATTGTCTGAAATTTTTTTCCATTTCTGTCAAGCGGTTAAAAAGATTTCACTCTTACTATAGCAGAGACCCAAGTGGGCTACGGACTATACATATTCAGGCATAACATTTATATTTATCATATTCAACTTAACAAAAAAAGTATAATTCAAATACAAACTCTCCACAAAATATTGCCTGAGCAAAAAAATCACATAATTCATTTCCATTTAAATGTTACCGTATATGAAGGACATGGGTAAATTTGTTAATCTTTGAGAGTTTTTCTACTCTTAATATTTGGACATTTGAAATAAAAATACATTAAAGTACTTTCAATTTTTCTAAAGATACTGTATATGGTGATGAAAATTTCAAACTTATTTGGTAATACTCAGAGAAAAACTGTGTCAAATATTTTTTGATTGACTATTTTGAGACCTTGGGCTACCGACTATACATATAGTATTTTCATTTAATGAAAAACCATAGAAAAATAGTTGGGTTTTTTTCAGTAAATATTTGTTAAAATTATCATCTTGGAGTTCACACGTGTTTAATAAATCCTTTCATTTGGATATTAAATCAATTTATACAAAATCCTGTGAAATTTAACGAAATAAAACAAAAACTTTATATAAATTCACAATAAGAGTAAAATATAAATAGTCAGATCAAAATAATATATGTCAGAAATACATGTAATTGGTGTTTTGATAATAAAATATTGTTTAAAACCATCTAAAGACCAAGAATGAACTTTAATTTAACATCTAAGAAGGATGCATTTCATGTGAGCACGGGGGCTACGGACTATACCGTTAAACATCTCTATTGTGGACGATCAATTTAAAGAAAATATATATAATTGTTTAATCAAATTTTGGGCATTTTTTTATTAAGTGGTTTTCTATAACAGTTCACACCACTTAGTTTGAGTATTTATTATACCATACTTAAAAATCAATTGTCTTATGTACTATGTACTTTCAATGCCAAATGAAATTCCAGTTCAATTAATTAAAGCATTGTTGGTGTTCAAACTATAATGAATAAGAGCAACAGGAGCTGAAATTAAATCAAGGCATGATTTGTGTGTGTGTGTTTGTGTGTGTGTGTGTGGGGGGGGGGGGGGGGAGTTACAGACTATATTGCTTCATTTTTTTTTCGATTTAATGTAAAGCATATTACTCAAGATGGTCATTCAAAAGGTGTATCAGTATATAATTTATCATAATCATATGGTGTAATTCAAACAAAAAAAAATTGCAAAACATGATTGACCATTTGAAGTAGAAAACATAATAGTACAATATTTACCCATAAAGAATCATTGCTTTTTTTTAAAATTAACAATTCAGTGACAAGTAGATTGGGTGGCACAATTATAAGAGTGAAGGTCTCAGTTTGTACTAAATTGCAAAGTAAGGAGTTGATCCTTATGTTTTGGGATCAAATCCCACAATGGGATTTTAAGACTGGTCGATGAGAACTAATAAACCATTGAATCCCCATTTTGCAGTAGATACAAGTAGGAAAAAAAAATATCTTGCTAATACAGAAGTACGGTGATATGGTCTGTAAATTTGCTAAATTTATTTGTAGAGTCTGTAGCCCTTTTGTAAGTAGGATTTGTGTGGCTAAATAATCTTTTAAAAATATTCCAATGTTATCATTGTAAATGGATTGATAGTATGTATCACAAGAAGGAAAACTTTATCATGTATATTTAGAAATATGTTGTGACCACAAACATAACAAGACAGACTACAGAAGCAAGCCTTTAGTTGAAAAATGTTAATTTTCAGATATTTCATTTTTAATTACAGTGGTATTTGTATTTAAAAACATTGCATTTGTTCGAATAAACATATTTTTGTATTGTAGTTATTGTATCAATAATGTATATGACTTTTTCTGGAAGTTATTATATTGGGGCTACGGACTATACAGGGCTACGGACACCAATCATTCTTCTATAACTTCTTTTGGTGTTAGCGCAAAAGCTATTCATTACTGTTTTTTACTTTACTAGTAACTGTGAAAATATTAAACAAGAGCATGATTAATTCTACATTCTTTTGTTGAACACAAACTATAATGAAATTTGGGGCTACGGACTGTACAAAAAATTAGACTAGTATGGAAAATAAAATACAAAATGCGCACACATTTTACAATATAACTACTATATTTTTCTCACAGTACTTTTTATCTTAAGTTAAATAAAAAAAATAAACAAATTATATTTGCTCTTTTTTTGATAGAAATTATGCATTTATTCAAACATTAATAAATCTTAAATTTTATAACAAAGGTATATCTGAACACATTTATTCATAATTTCCAGAATTTTTATCCTTTTTCTTTTCTGTAAAAAATAAACTTAACCAGAGTGATTTCTCCATAATAAAGTACATTTATTTTGGAATGTTTCATTCAAAATATTTTTAAATAACCATTATTCAAAATGTAAAAAATCAAGTGCAACAGCATAACGCTTCAAAAATTATGAATCTTTGACTTTATTCTGTTGTTTTTTCAAAAATGCAGATACTATATATATGATATTATATACCAATGGAAAGCTCTCATTCTAATCTTTGCAATGCAATGAAAGACATTTAGATTAGATGCAACTATAAAGAGTTACATCTACATAACATCATTTAGTTGGAAATGGGCATCTGATCTTGGCCAAGCCGTACGGTGCTATCATCGCTACACGAACAATATGGATTTTAAAACGACAATTAATAAAGCATATTTACACAATAGTATTTTTTGGGAAAAGTTCATCTTTTGTGGTGTCTGGGTCTTCTCTTCATTTTTTTAAAATGTTTGCTCGTGTCTTTGAATGAAATGCAAACAAATAACGTTTTAAAACATGGAGAGATGACCCAGGGAAAGCAATTTTAGAAAATCGTATTTAAAAAAAGGAACATTTTGTACCAAATGACTCATCTACCCAATTTTCAAAACACAAAATCGGTACATATCTCCCTTACCTATTTCACATGAACCCGATACATCAAAAGAATGATAAAATTTCATGAGACAGATCAATGAAATTTTCATTGCATGTAAGCGCGCCCAGATTCCTGACGATTGAATGCCAATCAAACGCGCCCTCGTTCTTTAATAACAAAATTTGACGAATTAAAGAGTTTGGTAAAACTCGTATATTTCAATAACCTCGAGAAAATAAATCACTTCTTTGGTTAGTGTCTGTCTGCAGAGATTTGGTTGTCCTTGTCTAAAAGAAAAGAAAGGAATTAATTTGATAAATAAATTATAAACAAAAATTATTAATTGCCACAAGTAAATAACAAGAAACAGAAATTTATAATCTGAAGAAAGCTATATAATACCTTGTTAACTCTTCCATTCTTATTTTCGATTCTTATGTTCTTCAAATCCGTTTCAACTCACATAAATTTATCACTCCCTTCTCCATAGAAGCTTTTAAGCCTGACTTCAATGGTGGTCAATGTAAGCCAGATCTCCGAGGTACCTAGAGAACAGACCAAATAGAACTCTATACCCTTATTTAATTTATAAACAAATATAATTCGTGGCCACACCTTTTCTCTAAAGGCATGTTATATACCGGTACATGTAATAACGATATAAGTGAATTGAAGCAAATAAAAAAAAAGAAACAAACATTTTATTGAATATTCAGCACGAAAAATAACCACCCCCTTTTTTCGACAAAAAAGAATCATTTATGTTATTTATCATGAAATAAATAACCATGTGCAACCAAAAGAAACTCTCTTCTTCTCTCTTTCTCTCTCTCGGAGAATTGTGTTAAGAAATATAGATATGATTACTATGAACGATAACTTTTAATAAACATTGAGGAATAATCATATTGAGTTACCCTCCTTATTTTCATCACGTGACGTGTCTCTAGACAATGACGTCACAATAGAAACCATTGTTTCTTCATCTCCGATCACAAATTTTGTGGTATTTTTTTCACACTTTATTAATATGTTATTGCAGTTGCTGTGCTATAACTTATCTGTAGCATTGATTGTTTTGTAACCTTACAGATTTGGAAGCCTTTTCCAAACATCAGTTATTGAAGATTTCTGATTTTTGGACGAAACATCTCTGCTGTTTGAGGTGGATCTTTGAGTTTTGGGAAACAGGTAAGATTGAAATCATTATTTAATTGTGTCAACCATCAATGTCATTCTGTATAACTGTATTCAATACCGATAAAGAACTCCATCTGTTCTGATTATTATTCATTAAATTTTTTTTTTTTTACAGGATTGAAGAGAGGCATTTGAATCCTCTAAAGTTTCCGATCTTGGATACTTTTAGTTGGTTACTGGGTTATACCTGTCGGTATCTGAATCAACTCGGTCATACAGATAGGGATTTAATCTATTATTGAGTTTTAATTCAAATTATTGTTACTGTTCTTTTGTGTGTGGTGTTTCTCATAATTTTTGTAGTTTACAATGGATCAAACAATGGTTCCGTCTGTGGATGAGTCTTATTCAGTGGATACTAGAGTATGTACCACTGGTCTTGTCTTTCTTGTATTAACACAGTAGTATTTTCATTAGTCCGTACTGTAATTAATTACCTTACACAGGTTATTAATTGTAGTATTCATTATAATTATATTGCATTTACCAGTTATCCATATTAGAATATACCAACATTAATTGTCTTGATTTATTGTTAAAATTTCTTTGTTATTTATGAAAACTTGTTTATCTTTTTTAACAATTTATTTATTTAATAATTCATTTATAAATTATTGTGAACAACAGACTGAAGAAAAGGATATGAATAGTCCTCCTCCGAGGAAGGAACTAGTATGTATACAGTATACCATGGTAAAATTGATATAAGCAATTTTCAAAAAATATGTCAAATATCAAGCAGTGTTAAATCAGTCAAGCAATTTGTATATAAAGCTGATTTTTTAAAATGATGTTTTGTGGTCTTAGCGCACCAAAGCTTCCTTGATGATAATGATGGTAGAACACGATGATGTTGACGATGAAGATGAAAGTCCAAAAGAATTGGATCAGGCTGTATGAATATATATTTATTGTTACATTCTTGTCCATGCTTTTTTCTTATTGCTGTAAATTAAATACCGGTAATTTAAAAAATAATTAAATGTTTCAGACGATGTCCAGCATGTGCATGTTGCCTGCAGAGATCGCATTGAGAGAACAGGTACTAATATTGAACAAATTCGCTTAATTTTAAATTTGCCATAACTGTCTTCTTATTATCTTACCCATTGTTCTTATTTCAGGCACGACAACTGTCTGAGATGAGCATGAAGGATGCTCTTGCTGAAGCCTTTATTGAATCTGAGGTATATCATATAAAAGTTCGAGGACTGATCCCTTCATTAACTTCTGATCTAAAGATAACAAAAGTATATGTGAAATACACATAAAGTTAAATAAATCATTGAAATGTTATATAAAGATTTTATTTTTATGGGTTTTATGTCAAACTTCATTTACAGACCAGGAGAATGTCTCTTATCGCCATACATTCAGCATTCTCAGCCGCTGCAATGTTGCAGCCAGAAGGGAGTCGCCCAGCTAAACGCAAGGTAGGATTCTGTCTAAAACTTTATTATCTTAAGCACTTTATAATTTGTTTCATTGAATCTTGATTGAACTTTCGATCACATCGATTAAACTCTATTAATTATACAAAACAATTTTTCATTTCAGCCCAACTTCTTCAGGAGATTTGTTTCTTGTTGTTTTTCATGTTTTGGAAGAAGGAGCCGTTAATTTATTTTGTATTGTTAACTGGTATTTTAGTAATAAAATATTCTAACCAAAGTGCTTGTTTTTCTCATTGAGTATTTAGCTGATTGATTGATTGTATGTTGTTTTACGTCCCGTTCGAGATTCACTCATATTGAGACGTCACCAGATACCCGTGAAGCGTTTCAAATTTAGACCTCTACTCGGCACTCAGGGCCATTTCGCAGTGAGGGTTCTTTTTATCGTGCCAACGCCTACCGTTACACAGGGCCTCGGTTTTAAGGTCTCATCCGAAGGACCCGCAACTTTCACTTCAAAGTGCCGAGCGTTTGGCGAAGAAACAGTTGCTACCTATTTTTTTATCGACTTAGGTCAGTCGCGGCCGTGATTCGAACACACGATCTTCCGATCACGGAGCGAGCGCTGAGTATTTAACTGGAGAAAAACTAAATTCTGAGAGTATTCCATTATAAGCAATACTGAGTATTTATCGGTATGGGCCGTAGATCGATAAAAATCATCACAACGTGGCTATATTCAAAATTTGTAAGTAATTCATCATGATATAGTCTCGCATCCCCCCCCCCCCCCCAAAAAAAAAAATTACAAGAGAGTCTGAAAAACTGTGTAGGACAGACAGAAAAACATAGATACACAGACAGACAGACAGACGGAAAGGAAAGGAAAGTTCTGTTCTGTAGGGGGATAATATTAACACTGCAGTAAATTATAAATTTTTTGGCTAAGCAACATGCGTTTTGTCGGGCCCGAGAAGCAATGTATTTGTCCAAGTCCGTTAGTTTAGTTCGAAAGTTTGGCAAAACGCATTACTCTGAGACTTCAGTCAATAAATTTTGGTATTTATAATAAGTCGAGATCACTCAAGCTCAACAGATTTGGTTGAAGTTGTTACCTTGGTGAGAGTTTTCTCGGTGACCGTCACAGCCTGAGAAAGATTTTTTTTCGGACAAGTGTCCTTTCTGACATATTTCATTTTGTCAAATAAAATCTGCAACATGACTAGTTATGATTAAAGATAAAATTTCACTTTGAATTTTAGTCAATTAATATTTCAATTTGGGTTAAGATTAATGTATGTGGATATTTTAACATAACATTTTGGGTATTCTCGTTTTATAGGAATTATATAGTAAAGTCTTTATTTTATTTCCTGTTACAATTTCAGATATATGTATAGAAATTTGGTAATAGTATTTTATTTGATGAAAAAGAAGGAATGTCTTTGAAGAAAAAAATAAGTACAGGTAATTGTCTAAAATAAATAATATGTGTTACTCAGAAGATTTGGCATGAGGGATTAGTAAACTGTTTAAGCCTTTAGCCATACAATTATGTAATTTTGCTGGAAAAAGAGAACAGCAGTAATTTGTAGATAGGTGATGTGTTTTTTTTTGTATATTTATTTATGGGTTCTTTTATCTTTTTTATCTAGTGTCAAAAACACTATCAAACGAAGTAGAATCCATTAACCTATTGTTAGGGGATTAACTTGTTAAGTGGCAGGTCAAATACTCAGGTAATGGTCAGTTCATGTCATGTGATTTTTCAAAATACGATATTTTGGCTATTATTGATACAAATTAACAAAGAAAAACTAATTTGATTGGACAAAATAATTTACGGCAAGCGTGGGTCTCCGAATGGAATTGCGCCCGCAACTCGGCCATTCTATTCGGAGACGTGAATAAAGTAACATCGTTTTTAATTTGATCCACGCTTTGCTTTTCCTTATTACAGGTATGGTAAAAATGTTTTATTTGGTTAAGTTATTTTTCTAGAACTTATAAAGAAAAGATTAATTAATTATTTATTAACATTTGCAATTAATTTCTGGAGTTTACAAAAATTTGAGCTTTAGTTTACAAAATTTGAGCTTTCATTAAAATAGAAATCTATTATAAAAGTATTATATTGAGATCAGGGCATTTATATTTGATGTGTGTTCTTATGATTTTTGTTGTATTTTGGTAGTTGTAGTCCTATGTAGAGTGTAGTTTTATAGTTAGACACGTTTTACTTTTTATCGGTTCTATACCGGAAATATAATGCCTTTCTTTGTTTGGCTCTATTATTATTATCAAACTCTCCAGTCGAGGGAGGTAAATTTAAATGTATCCAGTGTAAACAAAAGTACGAGCTTTAGTATTTCAGTTGGAAATTACATTGTCTAGATTTTTTATTATATAGAGTGAGTCTTTTTAATATTGTTTAATCACTCTATGAGTCACCAGATGTTAGGTAGGTTAAGGCACACTTGTTTGTAATGCTACGAGCAACTCATAATGATTTATTTTATTGTGCCTGGTGACTATTTGTTGTACATTCTATTCGGAGACGTGAATAAAGTAACATCGTTTTTAATTTGATCCACGCTTTGCTTTTCCTTATTACAGTGCACCCAAACCTAATCTGGACCTGGTGGCCGAAAAGCAGAATCATTATAATTAAGGGTCTCTCACAAGCGAGCGAGCTATAGACAAATTCCCAAGATAAAGTGCGGTCACCCAAAAGGGCGACACGACACAAGTTTGAACATCCATGGATCTTATTTTCACTGAGATGTAAAGAATAATACTTAAGACTCGGTTCAAATGAATTGATGCGTGCAGCAATTGAATTTAAGAGAGCAATAATTGATTTGATGTGGACATCAATTTAATTGTTGCTCTCATCACTTTAATTGATGCGCGCATCGAATTAATTATTGCTCTCATATATTCAATTGAAAATAGAAACTCCACAGCAAATCAGGTCAGTCAAAAAAGGAAATAACATCAACTAAAGAAATTATAGAATTGTTACACCTTACAGGTCAAACAAGTCAAAACCCTACAGCATAATCTGTCAAACAAAATATACTACAATTTTATTTAAAGTCATTCTTAGAGAAACATAACGTTCACAGAAAAAAAGACTATTGCATATCATACACTAAAGCACATTAGAGCAGTTAAAACCTGCATTACTTAACTGGTTTGTAAAAATCCACATACCTAACAGCACTTCAGAGCAGTGAAAAATACCTTAACTACAGCACACTGGAGCAATATAAAAAACCTATAATACATCACGTCAGTTAAAATTCTAGATAGCAATGTTTCAGTTCAGTTCAGTACAAAACCTAGACTAAAACACAACAGGTTTGTAAAAATCCTACACTAAAACACACTGTGTTAGGAATACACTACATAACATTGAGTCATAAAAACTCTACAGCCATCATTTCTTAAAGAGAAAAACAAAACTATACTAGAGCACATCAGGTAAGAAAATTACCTACGCTAGGTTCTAAATATCAAATACTTTGATAGTTTAACTATCAAAGTTTTTCTTCTGGTGTAATAAAATTGGTTCAATCTTGACTTCATTTACTCACTAACACTGGAGTTTGATAAATTATTACCATGACATAAGAAGTACCTACCTGGTCTATTAAAAGTAGGGCTCATGCAACTAGGATAGACGAATTCTAAAATGTGCAATGCTGGTAGCTGGTAGTTGCCCTATATATCATCCTTCATGTTATAGGTCTGGGAAATAAATGTGAAGAAAAAAATGTGCAATGCTATAGAATAGGAGGAAATTTGGAGAAATTCTATGTAGCGTATGAACATTTAGGTTAAATTGTGGACATGTAGACAAGTGGACAGGTCGACAGGATGACAAGTCGACGGGTTGACAGAATGTTTGATTGACAGGTAGACGAGTCGATAGGTTGACAGTTCGACGGGTTAACAGGTCGACACGTTGACAGATTGTTTGCTTGATAGGTCTACATTGTATCCAGTAAGACAGGTCGACGGGTTGACAGGTTGACAGATTGTTTGCCTGACAGGTCTACATGTATTCAAAAAGAAAGGTCGACAGGTAGACGAGTCGACGGCTTGTCAGGTCGACAGGTTGATGAGTTGACAGGTCGACAGGTAGACGGGTTGACAGGTCGACGGATTATTATCTCCAGTGGGTTAATGCACTAACCTTGATCTCTCGGGTGGGTTCGAGGATTAACCCTAAACTCTCGGGAGGGTTCGAAAATTAACCCTAAACTCTAAGGTGTGTTCGAGGACTAATTCTAATCTCGGGTGATCGATCAATCGAGTGGTTTTACATGACTAATCCTAATGTCTTGTGTTTGTTCGTGAAAAACAAAGCTTATTAATTCGAGAGGATGTTTTGAGGGTAAAAGGAATACCTAGAGGTAGTCAACTTTCGACTTGTCAACTTTTGTTTTGAGCTATAAAGGAAACCAAACGGATATCAACTGCTGACTTGTCGACCTTTGTTTTAAGTGAGAATAGTATCCCAAATGGGGGTCAACTGTCGACCTGACGACCTTTGTTGTGATGGATAAGATTTAGCAATTTGATAGTCGACCTGTCGACCTTTATTTTGAGAGATAAGAGTTTAACAACTAGGTGTCAACTGTCGACCTGTCGACCTTTGTGATGACAATACAGGTTAAGTGTCAAATTGTCAACGATTTAGGAAAAAACTCTTCTTGTGGATTATTTTTTTCTTGTGGACTATTTTATGTTATATGGTAAAACACTCACTTTTTGTTTTATAAAGGGAACTATTTCTTTCCTTGTTTTAAATTTGAAAGATGTTTATCGGTTTTACGAATCTACTTTTCCGTATACCCTAGTTGAACCAAAAGTAGTGTCAATGCCCAGTATTGAGAAGTTCTTTGCAATTGTACAGTTTTTCTCCATTTCTTTAACCGGAAGATTTGATGCTAAAAAACACAGTAAATTCAGGAGTACAAACTAACTTCACGTACAAATACGAGTATTTCTTTCATTTGCTCCTGTGATTTAGCAAAGTCAAAAAAGTTCTGCAAGTGAATCACAATTGCTTGTACAAGTTCTCTTTTTTTTGGTAAAAATTTTGATATATTCATTGTTCATCTCGTGGAAGAAATAATCCACCTGGTTTGTGTTCTATGCCTCCTTGCTTTTCTATAATGAAATAAAATATGTCTTTTTGGTCGTTTATTTTCGTTAACTCATTTTGATAAAAATCCTGAGCTGAATCAGACGACTGAACGTCAGAAC